GACCTCGTGGGCCATCCAGTCCAACCCCCTGCCAAGAAGCAACCACAAAAGCTCACATGAAAATAAAAACCAGCCAGTCTTTAAAATGCTGCTATTTTGTTTTCTCGCCCCCTCCTTTTCTCTTTTTATCTAGTAAAAGGAAAATGTATATGTCAATTAATTTTTACACATTATTTGCACTGCAGTCTAAAATAGGGATGCTTTAAACCCAAATATATTATTGTTTCAATCTTGTTTCCAGGGAAAATAACTCTCCGTGACTTAAAGAGGTGTAAAATGGCAAATGTGTTCTTTGACACTTTTTTCAACATTGAGAAATATTTAGACCATGAGCAGAAAGATCAGTTTTCTATTCTAAGGGTAAGTACAATAAGTACTTAACAAGATGCTGCTCATAAACATAATACCATAGTCAAATGATAAATTCATTCCGCCTTCTTCAGTTTTACAAGCATTGCGATCATGTTTGTAGGGCAATGAAAATGAAAACCAAGAGATGTCCGATTGGGAGAGATATGCTGCTGAGGAGTATGATGTCCTAGTAGCAGAGGAAGCAGCCAGCGACCAGTGGAATGACTGGTAAATATACCAAGGCCTGCATCTGTTTGTTGTCAGTTCTGAAGAAAAGCCCCACAATTCACTACTCTTTCTAATCAGTGACCGATTCAGTGAGTGACATTGCCTCTGTTGAATTGCATATTGCTCACCAAAATCTCTTTTAGAAATTGTAACACTATTTGTTCCCTTTTGCAATTGTTCAAGTGATTATTGCTTCTACTGTTAATGTTTCTGTAATGAACTCGACTCATTTTAGAAAGTTAGGAAGTGACCTACCTTAAAGGGCTGGTGTGTGAGCAGCCATTTTGTGGTTCCCAGGGAGCCCCAGCCCCAGTGTAAAGGCTATTTGCATGCGAGTTGCCTGATTGGTCATATGCAAATGAGTGGGTGCCAAGATTTGAAAGCGGGGCAGAAGCAAGGATGACAGTTGGAGAAGCCCAACCGGACATTTTATGGCAGTTAGGGAGTCCGCTGGAGGCATTCCCTGAGAGGGAGCCCCCGGTGGCACAGTGGGTTAAACCCCTGTGCCGGCAGGATTGAAGACCGACAGGTCGCAGGTTCGAATCCGGGGAGAGGCGGATGAGCTCCCTCTATCAGCTCCAGCTCCTCATGCGGGGACATGAGAGAAGCCTTCCACAAGGATGATAAAACATCAAAAATCATCCGGGTGTCCCCTGGGCAACGTCCTTGCAGACTGCCAATTCTCTCACACCAGAAGCAACTTGCAGTTTCTCAGGTCGCTCCTGACACGAACAAAAAACATTCCCTGAGAGTTAGCCAGTGAGCGAGGGCCTGGAAGGAAATAGCTGAGGAGCAGCTGGAAAATTGGTTAAAGAAACAAGTTAAAGATAGTTTGAAATCTGTTCTTATATATTCGCATAATAGTCCTTTTGGAAGAAAATAATAGTTTGAGAGGAACTCATATTGAAACATTATTCTGAAAGCAGCAAGCAATTGATCCTATGTAACCACTATGCATATACCATAAGAATTATACAAATAAACTAAGTAACTGTTTCACCTTCAAACAAACTCTCTCTCCATGTATCACTTCCAGCTTGAGGAGGAGGAAGAAAATCCTTTGCTCCTTAGTATCATATTTTTGCTCAGACTATCAGCCAGTCCCCTTCCTGGCCATTTTGCATTTCTGATTAGATAAGCAAATAAGGGGTCCTTTCAGCCAGGCCACGAGACCAAAGAGAGAGAGCATTGCATATTTATTGGGGGCAGTACTCTGGTCAGGTGACAGGACCAGAGAGCATCCCATATTTAATGGTGGCAGAGGTGGGAAGACGAAGTAAAAGGTCCACCCTGCTTGAAGTTTTGGTCCTTCCTTTCGCCTCAGTTGCCTACTCTTCATATAACAGCAAGAAGCTTCTGAAGAATCAGGAGAAAGGAGGCTGCTCTGTGCAATTTGTGTATCCTATGCAAGTTGTCCCTCTGCTTGGCCCCATACCCTCATTGAACAAGCTCCTTCTGCAAATCTCCATTTGAGTCATTTCTTTACAGTAATTAATGGATCAAGGAAGAACTGCAACAGAACTGGCTTTACCTCAGTATCTTGAGAGCAGAATTAGCCAGTTGTCAGTGCTAAGTTGCTGACTGCTAACAGTAACAGCCATAACTGTCTTTTCTTGATATGTGAAACACCAAGGGTGGCATGCCACAACAATACTTGTATATAATGCTTGTATTAATCAGTTGGATGGCTTAAATGCAACGGGCAATTCTTTATAACACTTGATAATTTCCAAAAGCACTAAGAGCCACATCCCTATGCAAAGCAGGCTTTATTAATATTCCACTTTAGTAAAAGAAAATGGATTTTCTATTCAGGTTAATAAATACTGTATTTGATTGCATAATAGTCACCATCACATAATAGTTGCAGCCCCATTTTGGGGGTGGCAAAATTGATATTTTTGTGTTCCTCACATAATAGTCGCAGAGCCTTTTGAGGGTGATTCCCCTTTCTTTCCTCCTGCGTCTGTTTCAGAAGTCAATATTTTTTAAAAAAACAAACGGGAGAATCAAAGGCAGGTTCTCTTCATCATGTAATAGTCACACACCCCTTTTGTGATTGAGAAAAATGATGTGTAACTATTATGCAGTGAAATACAGGTATTTAGAAGTGTCTAATTGTGGGAGGCAGGAGTCACATAGGATTGTCTTGTAAGGCAGTTTTAAGAGATTGAGCTTCACTGAGATTGGCATCTGTCTAAATCTAGATAGGTAGCCCTACATGATTTTTTTAAAAAAGCACTGATGGCCCTCCAAATGTTTTGGACTCCCCATCCTTTACCATTAGCCATACTAGCTAGAGTTTTTGGGAGCTGAAATTCAAAACAGAGGACAAATGATCCCTCAGCTGTGTTCTGAAAGTTTTCCTCCAGTTTTGGTATTACCCGATACTGAAGTAATATGCAGTCATACCGTACGCTTCAGTAGTATCAACTTTCCATATTAATTTTTACTTTCTTCTTCTAGTTACGAAGCTGAGCTGAACCCTGGAGATCATCAAAAGACCAACATTCTGAAATACCAAATGGAGAAACGGCCCTTCTTTGACATGCCTTCTCATTTGGCCGATGTTGACTTAGATGAATATGACTATGAAGACGATTTTGAATGAATTCTGACATTTGTACAAGAATAAGGACTGTCTGCAGCAGGTCTGCCAATAATCGACATAGTTCTTTGTGCTGCAAAATTAATACTGTAATCATTTTGCTATTTTGAAGAAAACAGTGAATTTGTATGGAATGACACCTTTTGTATTTATTAAGTACACTGTTGCCTATAAAATAGGCTTTAAATTATTTGCAGATGGATTATACTTATTTTAATGAATTACAATGTAGCCACCTTGTTGATGAAAATAAATTTGCTGGCTTTCAGTTACTAGAATTTTGACTCTCACCATTAGCTGTGCTAGAGAAGGCCTTGCTGTTTCTGTCTTCAAGCAGAACTAATAACTTTGCCAGAAATGAAAGAGAAAAATGTTGCAGCTTTGAATGGAGGCTAGTTCTGGTCACTCAAGTAAAGTGTTGTTGTACTGCAAAATATATCCTGCCCTGAAACAAGCTGTATGTCGCCACCCTTTCGACTTTTATTCTTTCAGATTTCATTTTGTTTTTCTGACTCCCTTTACCAAATAGCTTTTATAGCTCGCACTTGACTGTAGCGAATATTGTACTTCATGTCAAGGGAATCAACTTTTGAAAATTGTGTACATTTTACTTGATATGTGAAATGCACTAATCTTGCTATGGGCATTTAGCATATTTCTTCTTTGGTTAGGTAAATGTCACATTCCACAAATATTCATACCACTGGTGTCAGCGCAGCTCCAAATTTTGATGCTTCACTAGCCTACCTAAGCTAGATGTTGCTACTTTAGTATTTACACAAGCATAAGGTTTGTAGTGCCTTGATTATCCCAATGTTCACATGAGAAATTATATATTAAATACTTAAGCAGAGTTCTCAATAATATATCTTCATGTGAGACAAAAAAAAGATGTAAGCTATTTTGTTTGCAGTGCAGATCTGTTTAAAGTGTTTAAATATGTTGGTATTTTCAAATAAAGTTTTTTCATATATGTAATTATTTAACAAATCCTTTTGTAAATTTGTTCTTGAAAATATTTTTCTGGGGAAAAAGTTAAAGGACATTTTAATGTGAGGCATCCTATCAATGAGCCTCGTATCTTAAGTTCAAAACCCACTCTCCTAACTCAGGGGACTCAGATAGTCTAGGTGCTGTTTGGGGACAAAGAAGTCATCCTAAAATCAGCCCAATATTTTTTTAAAATTTAGGGACAGTGAAATGCTTCAGGGAATGCACATGAGGAGGATCCTAAGGACCAAATGGATCCCGCAAGTCAAACTTTGCCTTTTCTTGTTTTATAGCTTCTACTAGGAGCCCCTGGTGGTGCAATGACCCTTGTGCCAGCATGGCTGTGGTTCGAATCTGGGGAGGGTGGATTGAGCTCCCTCTGTCAGCTCCAGCTCCCCATGTGGAGACATGAAAGAAGTTTCCCACAAGGATGGTAAAAACATCAAACATTCGGGTGTCCCCAGGACAACATCCTTGTAGACTGCTAATTCTCTCACCCCAAACAAGTCACTCCTGACACTAAAACTTTTGTTTTCTATTTCCTACTTGTTTTGGTTACATCAGTGAGATTTTTGCAGCTAAAACTAGATATGTGGAAAGTCAATGGAAATGTCACAACATAGATTATTAATACTATTTACTTTATTATCCCACCTTTACTCCTATAAAGGGATTCAATATATATGTATTTGGCATCCACTCACTGAAAACCCCAAATGTTTATATGAGAATTAGGCACTTCACCCTTTACCTTCTTTTTTGGAGCTTTTCTGCAGTCTTTTTCATTTCTTCTGGAAATAATGTCTTCAGAAAACAGCCAGACTTCACTGATCACTTATTTTATTTTACAAACATCTGAATATAAAAGTATGAAACCAACAGCTGTTTTACAAGCTCTGCAGTGATGAACAGTGGATTCAGCGGACTTCTATTCCAATGTCAACATCATGATACACAAGGAAAGAAATGAAATACAAAGTAGAAATTATCTATTTTTACACACAAACACAAATATTTTCTCTTACCTTGAAAACACTTCCCTGTGGGATGAGACCCATGTCTGTTTAGTTCTTTACAACCCTTCAATATAACTTTCATTTTATATAGACCTAACTGTCCACCACAGGCTGATCAGATACTATCTGGTACATTTCCCTGTCTAATAAACTTAGTGTTTCACTTTGGAAAGAAAATCTTTAACAAAACAAACATCAAAATCATTTTTTTACATGTGTAGATAACACCAGCAAATACAAAAGCCATGTAATAGCACTGGCTGAAGAAATCACAACTGTGATCACTTTTTACCACTTGTAAGTGGTGAGTTGAACCATTCCACGTTATGCTCTCAGCTAACTTGTGGAAACTAGGTATAGTCCATTGCACCTGTTTGCTCTTGCACATGGCGTCAAAGTATATGTCCAGGTGGCTCCTCAGGTCTCCTATATAACAAATAAATTTAGAATAAGATACTCCACAGTCAATAATAGTACATATATAGAGAAATCCTTAAATATGCTTCTCAGTTAAGTAGTAGAATATAGTTGATTCTCCACATTCTTGGGTTTAAGATTGGAGATACATGTGACTGTGGAAAATCTGCAAATATCTCAAGGGGGCAGAAGGGGCCAGTGAGGGGTGGTGGTAGAGCACATCTTCAGCACGGTGGTCAGAGGACTTACTCATCCTTCCAGAAGCCCCCCTTGTCTGCCTGTCTCCCAACCATGGCATATGGGGAAGAGCCAGGCACAGCAGAAAGAAGTTCAGACATTGGGGGGTGGGGGGAGAGAAGGGGCAGGGAGCAGTGTGTGACAGAAGAAAAGCAGCAAGGAGAAAGTGAATGGGCAGACTCGGAGGGAGGAGAAAGGAGAGAGAGCCTCTTTTCCTCATGTGGCTACCATGGCATGCCCATCCTGACAAGCCCCCACACTGTCCTTTCGTAGCACCCACACTGTCCTCCTTTCATAGGGAACTGAAAACCTGGATGTTCCAGCAAGTTTTCGAGAATAATTAGTCCCTAGGCCCAGTTCCTAGGTCACCAGACAGTACTCTGTTCTGCAATGTATCCACTTCCCCGGCCCTATGATATGCTGTTCACACTATCCCTCGCCCAGTCCTTTTTATAGCTGATTAGGTCCATTTTAGCAATCCTGGCCATTGCTGTTGTTGAACCTCATCTGATGGAGCCCCAATATATTTTATTTTATTTTATTTTATTTTATTTTTAGTGTGTTATATCAGGGTTTTTTTTATTTTATGTTTTTATTTTATCTTATTTCTTATTTTTATTTTTATTTTTTGCTCTTTTGATTATTAAGTTATCGTTATGTTGTTCTATATTGTCTAATGTGTCTTGTCCTGATGTAAACTGTTTTAAGGCTTTTCTTTTGGCATTGAATGTTTGCCGTATTTGTTGGAAACCGCCCTGAGTCCCTTTGGGGAGAAAGGGAATTCTATAAAAAAAATTTTTTAATTAAATCCTTTCCTAAACTCCCTCCTAGAGGAGGTTGGTTATATGTGGAACTGCCGGTTACAGTGGAGTTCCTACCACTGTACCCTGCAGTTCCACATGTAACCAGCCTTCTTTTAATTATCATACCCCTATCTTCCACTCTTCATCTCTTCTCATTTGCAGAGCATATTGAACAAGGCAAGTGGAGAGTTCCTAGAGGCCCTACCAGAAATTATTAACATCCTCCGCCTAAACCTGGGAAAAGTACAGATGTTATTCAGTAGTCCGATCTGCAGGGCATTGAAAACCTTCAATGGAGCCTAGCCAGCAAGCTATGTTTGGCGGGGAGGGGGGGGATCAGATAACAGTTGCTAACACATGAATTCCAAAGGTTATACTGTCCAGCTTATGATCTAACTACTGAACAGAATGCCACCTTGAATTATCAATAATTTATTATCAGTAACTTTTCACCAGGTCTCTTTAATAACAAAACTGATCCAAAGAATGGTAAATAGTCACCAGGTAGACGAGGTTTTGGATTTTTTTCTCCAAGAAATGCATGCAATAGTAAGCAGAAACTGCCACAGCAGATTACATGATGCCCAGATTGCCAGCTTTTTGCACAAAAAGCAAGAACAAGGGAAACAAATAACGATGTCCAATGTCATAGTTTTTATTCTATCTATATGCATTGCAGCATCTGAATTCTTCCACCACCACTGTGTATGTTGTTTTAAAAACATTCAAAGCTCCACATCAAACAATCCTTACCTGGTCAGCCCCAATAACATCAACATCCATATCTTCAGCTGGGACCTCTACAGAATTATCTTCTTTGACCACAGCCTGAGTACTATAATGAGAGGACATACAGGATGGCTTAGAAAATGAACTATAATGATGTAAGATGTTTTCACAAGTCTTTTAGAGAAATCCACTTGTGAAATTAAGACATTTTGGGTGGATAATGGGCACATCACAAGGTTGAGGCAACATTCTTTCCATCCAGAAGGTCTCAAGTTTCAACTCTAGCATTTCCTGTTAAACGGGCATGCAGCAAAGCGGTTCAATAATGAGGCAACACTTGGGAAATTTCCACTGATTCAATGGGTCTAGTTAAGATAAAATTTCCATAACAATCCAGGCCACTGGGACTTCCAAAACCATGCCAGATATCAGAGACTTGTAGGGAGGTTGTCTGAACTGGGAGTAATAATATTTATCTATTTACTTATTTATATCCTGCTTTTCTCCCATGGGTGGGATTCAAAATGGCGTGCATGGTTAAATCAGCAAAAATAAGTGTAATATTTTAAAAAATCAACAAAAACATCATAAACCAAATGAAAAGATAACACACAATGCATACCATATTTAAAACAATAAATTAAGATGTAAATCATTAAAAAAATCCTAAACCTCAGGCCACTGAGGTTTGTCCATAAAAACAATTGTGTTAAGCTCCTAGAAAACTCAATTTTTCTTTAGGCTGTATAAAAACATTGTCATGTCTAAAATAGCTTCAAGAAATGTGTAATTACCAGAGCTGTCTAGCCACTGTCTATTTGGGGTCATCAGGGAAGGCCTGCGCCCATAGAAGAATTTTAATTTGCAAACAAAAGGCCATAAGAGAGGCCCAAGTCTAAAATTCTACAAAAACGAGGGATATTAAGGCATTATTTGGAAAGATCTATACTAATGAGCTCTGTTCTAACAACTACAACTTTGATTAAAGCATTCTTGGAACTAAAGCTTGATGAAAATGACAAGATTTCACAGTTAGAAGTGTTTAGTCTACTTGACCATATTATGTAATTCCCAACATGCAAATCCAGAGGGCTGACATAGCATTCATTTATGTACAGAAACAACATTTAGAGAAGAAATAATGAATTGGTCCACTGTTGCTCATCTGCATTATAAGCTGAGGTGGTGCTACATTTTCAATTTGGAAACGTTTTACATCCACCATTCTCATATGTCCCACAAACCACAAAGAAGGTACATTTTCAGTAGTAAAGATGATCCACGCCTTCTTCTCACCTGTGTCTTCTATTCAGACTCGCAGAACCAGGTGATGGTGCATTTTCTGGGTGACCACTTTCAAGAGATTTTAACCTCTTTCTTTCCCCAGAAGGGGTCTGAGACGGACAGTGGGAATCGGAGGGTTTTTTATTTACATTTTCGGCGTGGCTGGGTTTGGCCAAGGCTCCTAAAATGCAAAATTGGTACTTCAGTTTTGTTTAATGCATGTAATTTAGTGCAAAAGCCCAAACATAGAAACATGGGACTAAAATGCTCATTCATAGCACATTTCCTGAAACACAGTTGATATTAAAAATGAAAAAAGTATTTCTTCATTTGAACAGGAAAAGGACTAAAACTCTTAGTGGTGTAGTGGGTCAGACCCTTGTGCTGGAAGGACTGCTGACCAAGAGGTCAGCGGTTTAAATCCAGGGAGTGGGTTGAGCTCCCTCTGTCAGCTCCAGCTCCCCATGCAGGGACATGAGAGAAGCCTCCCACTAGGATGGTAAAACATCAAAACATCTAGGCATCCCCCTGGGCAACGTCCTTGCAGACAGCCAATTCTCTCACACCAGAAGCGACATGTACTTTCTGAAGTCCCTCCTGGCATGAAAAAAAATAGGGAAAGAGCTGATTTATTCATTCTAACTGCTGCTGCTGCTTGCATCACATTGAAGATTATTTTTCAGGCCCTAAGCTTCAGGAGAATAAAACATCACAAACAATAGGTTTTTTTTAAAAAAAATGGTGTCAGAAAAGACCACAGAGTTAAGGAGAAGATTAGAGAAGGAATACAAAACTGTTTAAAAGAGAAATTAAAGGAGATATCAAAAAGAATTGTTTGGAATGCAGGGCAAGTGATAGTAAGAAGCATATTAATTCAGAAAAAGTCTGACTACATCTCGCATGGATTACTGCAAAGTTATGGAAGTCAAAGAATTGGCCCAATACCTAAGATCCGGCACTTTAGCATGGCCCTCAACTCTATAATCCTGACATTTTAATGCCCAAGAACATTACTCTCCCACCCCTGCCACTGAATTTTGCACTTTCCCTTAGCTCTATCTAGGAATTTTTTTGCACAAACTCAGAGCCCTCTGAACTCAGCACTTTCATTGCTCTCCATAGTACTGTTTTTATGATGTTATGGTTTTTTTGATATGTTTCTATTTGGTTTTCTTTTCGTTTTAGTTTAATGTATTATGTTTTTAACTCTGTGCTCTCTAGGCTTCTCCCTTTGTAAGCCGCCCCGAGTTCCTTTGGGGAGATGGAGACGGGGTATAAAAATAAAGTTGGTTGTTGTTGTTGTTGTTGTTGTTATTATTATTATTGGTGGTGGGTTCACAGGTGGGGGTAGGAGGGGAAAGATTGGATAGAATATTGCAATGTATTAATTTGGGGAAACAGCATACCTGTAGTAGATGTATTTGACTATCTCTAGATAAGGCATGAAAAAATTGTTTTTGCCTTGGGGCCGCATTGCTGGCCCGGCAAGGAGGGCCAGGCTAGTAGGAAAGGGGCCATTTACACGCAGGGCGGGCCCATGAGGGGTAGGGCCTGGGAGAGGGCAGGGCCAGGAGGGTACAGTGCAGGGCCTGGATCTTCCTCATATTGTCCTCCTAGCATAAGGATGGAGCTGCTTGCCCCATCCTTATGCCGGGAGGAAGGAAGGACACATGGTGCCTCCCCCAACTTATTGGAATTAGGACATAGCGGGCCACCATGTCCTTATGCCAAAAGGACAGGGAAAAGGGGGAGGACCTGAGATAAGCACCCAGGGAGCCACATCTGGCCCCCGGGTCTTAGTTTGCCCATGCCTGCTCTAGATGTTTCTCCTTCTTATATTTGTATCCCATTAACTTCACTCAATAAAATTATTAATTTGTTTAAAGCCCTGATTGTGTGTTTGTGGATTCGGACATTCTGGCACTCTAAACAACTCATTTCCTTTTTTTTTAAAAAGTCTGCTTTTTAATTAAATCAGACCAATATTAGGGGAAATTGTATCTACATGTGCTAAATACAAAGTAACATTTCCAAAGAAGAACACAGTCTTAATGATGTTTAAAAAAATCCCCCAAACTGGAAAAAAGATGGGACATTAAGGATGGGAGAGGGGAAGAAGAGAAGAAAGGAGAAGGTGGAGGAGGCATAGTCGTCGTCCTGCCAGTTGCACAACCATTTTTCCTTGGCACGAACATTTGTGCAACCAGCTGCAAAACTGACAAGACTGAAACTCATCCCATGACTGTGTGTCCATGAATGGCAAAACAGCACTACTGAATGCTAGCCATAGACATTCACGACTGAAGTACAGATGAATAGCAGAATTGGCTAAGAGCATGTGTAACATCTCTGTAGCCTTTCCTTAAAGGGAAAATAAGTAAAACTCAAACTTTACTAATTATCACTTTGTGAATAAACACAACATATGCTGTGATGGAAGAAAGTTGGAATAAATATTTATTAAATATGTTTCAGTTCTTAGATATATTTTTTTACCAAAACATTAAATGTGTGTGGAGGTATATACCTTCAACCTGCGCTTTCCTCCATATAAAGCTGGGGGTGGAGAATCTAAGGAAAAGGTTAGAGGCATTTTTTGTAAAAAGTTGTTCTGTTTTAACAGAGAAGTCTGTCAGTGGTGATAACTAGGGGCCAAATCTATTCTCCTTGAGGGGGAAGCTATCATGAGTATCATGAGTGTCATCACTCATGTGGTGGAGGCTCCTTCTTTGGAAGCTTTTAAACAGAGGCTGGATGGTCATCTGTCAGGGGTGATTTGAATGCAATATTCCTGCTTCTTGGCAGAGGGTTGGACTGGATGGCCCATGAGGTCTCTTCCAACTCTTTGATTCTATGATTCTATCATACAACATGCAGAGATGGCACTTCCAGAAATGGCAATACTGTACCTTCAGAAATTTTTCTTTTCAAAGCAGGCACCCTTGTAATGTTAGCAGGTGGCCATTCATTTGAACTGCTGACCACAGAATTATCTTCCTCTTCATTAGCCAGCAAAGAAGTTCTGTACCAACCCAGTGAGTACCAGGAATCGCCTTTACAAAGTGCTGGCTCAGGTATATATCTCTGCAAATAACTATATCTAGATACAAACAGATATACACATAATTGAAAGATGCAGAGTTCTTTCCTGAGAGAAGGTTCTTCTATTTCATAACTAAAACAATAGATAAACCAATAAAGCCAAAACAATCATCATTTAGAGGAGGGGAAACCTGCTCAGAAAACTCAGACTGGAACTACACTGCCATATAACCCAGATTAACTGGATTATATGGCATTTCAAAGCACATAATGTGCATTATCTATAGATAATGTTGATTCAGCCTCAGGCAGAAAAATTATAGTATAGCTGCACTGTTGCAGCAGTTTTCAAACAAAGACTGGCTACAACACTCCCTTCTTACACTCCTCAATACCACAACACACTGTGTAAAATATACATTTTGCATCTTGTGTATTCTGAATCTATTTTATAGATGCACTCTAAAAGTTATAGCTTATATTTTCATTTCACTATTCACAGTTCTCTTTCCATTCTCACATTTTATACACAATCTTTAACTTTCCTACCACAAAGATTTCTATGACACTCCAGCTAGCACTCATTTCCCTCAAGCATTTCCCACAAATAATGTTCATCCACAACAAACTTACACAAGTCTTTTGTCAGGCTTAAGAAGCTTATTGGAGAATTCACTGAGTATGACCAAGAAGTTGAGGTTGGGAGGCAGGGATTTCTCTTCTGCTGTAGCTGCCCCTTGGAAAGCAAATTCAATACCTTCTCTTTTGGCAGAAGTCAAGAATAAAAAGAGAGTACACATGTTTTACTACAAGAGTGCCACAGAAACAGAAGGCCAAAAGAAGATACAGACTTAGGCACATACTTGTGTATCATGGCTACTGACTCTCGACTTTTCACCTGATCCCAGCCAAAGGTCAAAGAAAACCGCCGTGCAAGTTCTTTAATGTTAACGAAGGAAACAGAGAAGACATCCATGCTGGTGGTGCTGCTGGCAGTGTCATCTTGACTTTCAACAAACTTCTGAAACAGCTGTAGACCACAGACATTAACATAAAACTTTCCAGGCAATATAAAAGCCCCAGAGAGGCCATACCTGACATACAACCGATGCATTCCTTGCTTAGGATGCATCAAAGCATTATTTTACCCCATAATCTGATTATATCTTTTAAGAATCCCACCAAGGTGAACAAGCACTCCAACAATGCAGATGGCAATCAGTGGGAGGGAAGAGCAGAATGTATACAAGACAAAACAGATACACAGATGACATATTAAATTTCCAGATGCTACAAGTTTATTGAGTCAAAAGTACTGCCTAATTTCACTGCAAAACATAGTCTCTGCAACCTGCTCCAATTAATATGGGCATAGCTCTTTATACCAGTTGAAATTTCCAAACAGTCTTCAAAGGCATACAATAATCCAGCTGGGATATAACTAAGACTTGTGTCACTGGGGCCAGATCTGACTTTTCAAGAAATGGGTACAGGTGGTGCACAAGGTTTAACTGTGCACAAGCACTCTGAGCTATTGCTAAAATCTGGGCTCTGATTTTAACCGAGGTCCTTACGAAAAGTGAACAGAGTGGGTGCCAGTCTTCTTCTTCTTCTTCTTCTTCTTATTATTATTATTATTATTATTATTATTATTATTATTTGTTTCCCATCATCCTCCACCTATGACAGGCATTGGTTTAGGACCAAAACAGCTTCCTTGGCTTGTGGTGGAAAGGTGGAATAACGTTGGGTGTCATCTGCACACTGATGGCACCAAACCCTAAAACTCCAGACCATTCCTCCCTGCAGTTTCACATAGGGCCAGATATCACTTGTGACACAGACCCATGGTTGTCATGTCAGACACCAAGTCTATGAAGAACCACTCAAGAGGGCAATCTCAGCATGGATAACGAAGCCCCCAAATATTATTAAGGTAAAGGTTTTCTCTTGACATTAAGTCCTGTTGTGTCCGACTCTGGGGGTTGGTACTCATCTCCATTTCTAAGCTGAAGAGCTGGCATTGTCTGTAGATATCTCCAAGATCATGTGGCCAGTATGACTGAAGGAGGGCTGTTACCTTCCCACTGGAGTGGTACCTATTGATCTACTCACATTTGCATGTTTTCGAACTGCTAGGTTGATAGAAGTTGGGGCTGACAGCGGAAGCTCACGCCACTCCCTGGATTCAAACCTACAACCTTTCGGTCAACAAGTTTAGCAGCTCTGCAGTTTAACCCACTGCGCCACCGGGGGCTCCTATACATAGAGTAGCTTTGTACAATATTTGTAATAATACTATTTATGAAAGAAATCTTGTGCACGCTGAATCAGAAGGCTGAGATTGTAACATCTTTGCTTTCAGATGGTTCAATGCACATGAGATTTCTGAGCATTTCAGAATTCAGATAATTGAGTTCAACCTGTACTTTCATTTGTTTAATTTACCTACATGAGTACACTGCTGCTGAGACTAGACTCCTGTTGGCACTGTGTCTTGCTAAGCTAGGCATTCAAGGATCTAGGAAAGGCAAACTCTATTTTTTTCTGCACAGAGTGATTAGATGGTTTATTCACATGCTTTCATCTGCAAACTTTCAAGGTCAAGCTGTAGCCAAACTGGGCTGTTGCCTACGTGATATGTAAACACAGGCTCCTGACTGTATGAGCAAAGCGCGGTTCAGAAAATGCAACTGAGCCCTCTTGGTATCACATTTCAGGGGATATGCCATGTTCTTCCTAAGCTCCAAACCAACATGAGGAAAATTAAAAGGGACTCACATATCTGCAATCCCAAAGGACATGTTCTAAAGCTGCAAGAGTAACCTGTAAGCTTCCAACACATAACTTGGAACAAGCTAGCCAGGGAAACTGTCCGATTGTGGAAAGTAAACACTACACTCAATGAAGCCTAACTGAGTTGTGTGGCACAACAATGCTTCAAAGGCCTAGTAAATCTGTCTCAGGGGTACATAACCTCAAGCTGCATAAAAGGTCTCACCTGACTGAACAATGACAGCTAGCCTAGAACTCTGTCCTGGAAAAGCATTTATCCTGTATGGAGAATATATCATATTTACTTGAATCTAATGCTTACCTTTTTTGGCTAAATGGCCTTACCAAAATTGGGTAAGGTCATTTAGCCAAAAAATTACCTTACCCAATGACTTGTGAAGGTGGACTAATTATAGGCAAGTCTTCAATGTATGCTTAGTGATTGACTGATGTCTGTGAAATTAGATTCACATCATACAATAATCTTATTGCTGAGCCAATGCTGCTTCAGGAGGTATACCTGGAGATCTCTTCATTGAGGAACATCATCTATCACGGCCAGGGCTCAATGTTATGCAATCCTAGGATTTACAGTTTGTTGAGGCATCCGCAGTCTTTGGCAAAGAAGGCTCAGCCCTTGTCAAACTACAGCCCCCAGGATGCCATAGTATTGAACCAAGGCAATTAAAGTGGAGCACCTCAAGGTTTTCTTTTCCATTTCTGGAAGCTTTGGTGTTCTAACACAATTGTTTATAATGAAGGAATTCTAAGCAGACAGCAACAGTAATTCACACATTTTTGTTCAAATTACAAAAAATGCAATTTTGGCTGCTGAGCATTACATTTGGCAGCAAATGCCTTGTTTGCGGGGGGGGGGGGGGGGCCTGAAAATTCAGGTGCCAGTTGAATTTAGTGGTGCATTAGACTTGAGTAAATATGGGTATTCATGGAGAGTAGGACTGCTGCATTCATTTTGTACATAAAGTCCACATTTGCAGTTTGAAGTGGTATTGCCCGGAGATACAAGAAAGCCAAAGACAGGTCAGGAAGTGCATGTTTCAAACATAATGACTACAAGCAAAATCAATAATGTTGGGCAAGGTGGCAATTGAAGTTTTTATTCATTTATTATTAGTTAATAAACATTCATTAAGGTATTTAGATTTCTCTCAATATTAAAAGATCATGGGGCAGGGCTCAGCATGGGTAAAATAACAACTGAAACACTATAAAAGTAATGCAGCTAATCCTCCATATGCGCTGGAGTTAGGGGTGCAGGACCCCCATGAAAGTGAAGAAACCATGATAAAAAAATATTATTATCAAACCCAAAATAACACCTTCCTCGGAATCTCTACGTCCTCCAACACAACCTTATAGTCAACTCCCAGTACACAATGGCCATAGAGTCACACTGGAGGACCTAGACACTCCTAAATAGACTATATTAAGCAAATCTGTGAAAAATCAAATCTACAAGAAGTAAAAGGCTGCAAATTAGGATAAGTGATTGTATATGAATTTTAAATAGACTGAAGTCAATTAAAATGGTTCGTTGTTCATTCATTCAGTCGTTTCTGACTCTTCGTGGCTTCATGGACCAGCCCACACCAGAGCTCCCTGTCAGGCGTCACCACCCCCAGCTTCTTCAAGGTCAATCCAGTCACTTCAAGGCTGCCATCCATCCATCTTGTCCTTGGTCAGCCCCTCTTCCTTTTTCCTTCCATTTTCCTCAGCATAATTGTCTAAGCTTTCCTTTCTACTCATGATGTGGCCAAAGTACTTCATCTTGGCTTCTACTATCCTTCCCTCCAATGAGCAGTTGGGCTTTATTTCCTGAAGTATGGACTGGTTGGATCTTCTTGCAGTCCAAGGCACTCTCAGAACTTTCCTCCAACACCACAGTTCAAAAGCATCTATCTTCCTTCGCTCAACTTTCCCTATGGTCCCCATAGTCCATAGGTGACTATGGGGAATACCATTGCTTTAACTATGTGGATCTTCATTGCCAGTGTGATGTCTCTGCTCTTCACTATTTTATCGAGATTGGACATTGATCTCTTCCCAAGAAGTAAACGTCTCCTGATTTCCTGGCTGTAGTCTGCATCTGCAGTAATCTTTGCACCTAGAAATACAAAATCTGTCACTGCCTCCACGTTTTCTCCCTCTATTTGCCAGTTGTCAATCATTCTTGTTGCCATAATCTTGGTTTTTTTTATGTTTAACTGCAACCCAGCTTTTGCACTTTCTTCTTTCACCTTGATTAGAAGGCTCCTCAGCTCCTCCTCACTTTCGGCCACCAGAGTGGTGTCATCTGCATATCTAAGGTTGTTAATGTTTCTTCCAGCAATTTTCACCCCAGCCTTGCATTCATCAAATTAAAATGGTCGTGATTAGCAATAGTAATTAGCTATGCTAATGTTTGCCTCCTAGAGATAATTCAAATTTATGGTGTAATATAAAGACAGAGTCAGAGATGCCCAAAATAGACCATGGATTGTATGCTTCCCTGGGAAGAGGAGAGAGTTTTGACCTCCTGGACTGACTTCATGCACCCAGTGAAGTGAAGGAACCTCTGGGACTATATGGTAGACAAGTAGCTAGACTGGAAAATATGATCTCTCTTCACCTGAAGGGAATGTAATTATAGCAGATGCAGCAGAAACCTCCACCAGCTTAAGCTCAGCCAGTTGATGCTCTTCTGCTTGCAGAACAATGGATCTAGATTCCATCAATCTTTTTATATCATGTTTTCTATCAATGCCTTTAAAAGGGTTATCAAAAGACTAAAACAGTAATATTCTCACCTGTTGCAAGCAAAGTATCACAGTTTTTGCACTCCGAATTTTGTCATTGTGTCTTGACCTGCTCAAGGTTTCTTTAATTATATCTCCAAAGTCATTATATGTCTGTTGAAAGGCAAGAGGGGAAAACTCTTTTTGTATCAATCAATAGCAGTATGAGGGGAATTCAAAAATCAAGTGCTTCTAAAATACATATAATAATATTAACTTTACAACTTACAGAGAAGGAAATTTTTATAACAGAATCCTATAAAGTAAAGGTTTCCCACTGACATTAAGTCTAGTCATGTCCAATTCTGGAAGTTGGTGCTCATCTCCATTTCTAAGCTGAAGAGCCGGTGTTGTCCGTGGATGCCTCCAAGGTCATGTGGCCAGCATGACTGCATGGAGAGCCATTACCTTCCTGCCGAAGCGGTACCTACTGATCTACTCACATTTGCATGTTTTCGAATTTCTAGGTTGGCAGAAGCTGGGGCTAACAGTGGGAGGTCATCCCACTCCCCTGATTCTAACCACCCCTTTTGGTCAGCAAGTTGAACAACTCAGTGCTTTACCCTGCTGTGCCATGGTTGGCTCTCTCTATATATATGAAGCAAATCCAAAATAATGCCATGGGGATTGCTCTCAAGAAAATATCTGCAGGATTGCAATGTTGGATTCTTTGAAATATGACATAATTTCTTTTGTTAGTACATTCATGCCTAACACATTCAATGGAAAAATCAGTTTTACTCAGTTTTATCCATAAAATATACAGCTTTCCAAGCAAGAGTGCTTAGGATCATAAGTTGCAAGCAACCAAAGGAAAGAAAAAAAATAAAACTACCAGACTTATCTTGCCTAGCTTCAGAAAGATTAGAAGACTGTCTTCTCAATGCTGCTACTCATGCAATTGGGGGGGACGGGGGGGGGGGGACAAGAAAGAAAACAATGAATCTACTCTCTTTACACAAACATAACCCAGAACAAAATCTAGTTTGTTTTAAAGTAGTCTAAGGATGTTCTGCATGGCCTTCTGAGACAAAGGCTAGAAAATAAATCAAAACAAAGAACTATCGGAGTGATTTTGATGCCCATGGGCAGGACAAATATTCTCTTGATTTCATATACAGAAAACAGCTGGACCAGCAGCTGAATCTTATTTTGACATTGGCATGTATAGTAAACATAGCATCCTCCATCATAATTTGTGGCAACAAGCTCAAAAACAAGTTGTGCAGCATTGCCATCCAACAGAGGAGGACAGCTGGGGACTTTACATAAGGCAGTTCTTATTGCTATAGTGTAAACAATGCTATTGTACAAAATCAACTATGTTATAAAAAGATGGCATATAGACTGTACCCATCACATCTCATGACACATAGATCACACTGGTTTGAATAACTCCATCTTTATGAGACTGGGAAAACAAAAAGTCTACACAGTTCAACTTTATGGGTTTGGAAGACATCATCTAGAAAATTAGCCAATTACCTTCATATAATGCTTATAGATTTCAGCAGCTGAAGTCATCTCAACAACATTATAAATTATTAACTTGCAGTAAGAAGCAAGGAGGCATCGCTTCAGGTGCAAGGCATCCAGTTTCTGGCTTTCTTTTTTCCGGTCATCCTCTTCTGTCAAGTCTATGGCAAGAAAAGTGAACACCTAAATATCCGGTCAGAGCTCTAAACCACAGCTGCCATATCACCTTTATGTATTTCTTTGCCCTTGCAACATTTAAGAGCTGTTTTGTCTTCAGGCACCATGTCAGTACCAGCTGCTTATCTACTTTACATGGATTTTCACCATGAAAAACAAGATATGAGGCCAACATAGACGCACAGATGAGTATAGAACTTTGAAAATTCTCGTAAGGCCAAGACTAAAAGTTAATCTAATGAATGTATTTTAAAAATTATGTCTTTCAACAGGCTACCTTTTTCATACTGAATACTAGTAATATAATTTGTGAGGGGAAGAATTCCTGTTACAAATATACCCCACAGCACATGATACTTTTCTTGAGCAAGTTCTACATCTTCAGTATCAAACTTTTCACTAGATTTTAACCACATGCTTGGTTGTACCACAATTAAGTGCATCCTTTCCTTTTGGAAATAACAAATAGCAGAGCAGTTGATGGTTATAGTTTTAGTTTTTGTTTGTTTGTTTCAAAAATGGGTACTGGACATTTATTATTATTATTATTATTATTATTGCCATTGGGCTTTATTAATTCTCGTATTTTATCTTATAAACATTTTGAGGGGGCTTCATACACTAAAAAGACTGTCTAAAATCGCTTAAATACATAAAATTAAATTCAAACACACTGCATGAGAGCAATGGCCCCTACTTTCATAAATATCCAAAAAATGACATTTTTTCTATGTTGAAGTTGATGTAAATGATTAAACAGATTAGTTTAAGACTGGTGATGTAGAAAGGCTGAAGAGGCTTAAAATGTCTTAACTATTCAGATTTCACAGATAGAATGTCTTGAGAGAAAGACATTCTTCTTAAAAAACAGTTCCGTCACACTCAGTCAACTCATTGTTTTAGACCTTTACTTGAACAACAATATGTTTATATCACTTCACTATTATAGCTGATTACTAAATGGGAGCAACAAATATTGCTAGGTCAGTACCTTTTTTTACTAACACGCAGAAAAAAATCACTAACCTTTGGTCTCTTCCTCCTCATCGTTGAAAACGTGATCCTGAATAAATATTATCATTCTTGTCTGAAGAGATAAACTGGGAAGGTAGTCCAGTGACTCAACAGTTTCATCATCACTTGAATCTTGATGGCTTATAACCATAAGTAAATCGCAGAGTAACGCAAAAGCCTGTAAAAATAGACAGCTATAAAAATGTAGCCATTACAGAAAAATGTATGACATGAACAATATTTCCCACCTCTGCTATACATATCCAGAACCCAATCCAGTCTTTGCCTTATTAGGATCCTGCTGGAGAAAGCTAAGATCATCAAATATATCTAGGTCATGTATAAAACGGGAGCAGGTTTTGGGGCCAAAATTATGCATTTTACTATGAGCCATGGATAAATCAAAGGTAAAAGGTAAGGGCAAACAACCAAGAAATCTTCTTCTGTCCTATTAAAAATGCATAGAGTGAACATACTTAAGAAGAGCTAAAGAGAATGGCAGGACCTATTTATATGAGGGGTTACAATTGGGGGGAGGGAATAATAATAATAATAATAATTCTCCTTGTGACTCGAGGCAGGGTACAGCATGATAAAACAGAACACAATTGAAATACACATAACAAATATATACATGTAAAACACAGATTAAAATGACCGCTAAAATACAAGTAAACATTCACGAGTTAAAACTGACTGGATAGATTGCATTGCTGATCGTAAAATGTGTACATTTATACAAACGCATATTACAGAGAAAATGTCAGGTGTAAGCCATTAAGGGGGCTTTGGGAGCTGACTGAGGATCCCGGTTGGAATCAGTTTCCCTCCTGTCTGGGTCTAACCACTGCCTCGCAATAGTTCACATGCATTATCTTGTTGTAATCCTTACAGCATCCCTGTACAGTCCATCATATTAAGCACTATATCGAGGTGGCAGAGGGCACTGAAGCTGAGAGAAATCCCTTGCTCAAGGCCACCTAATAATTACATAGATCTTTATTTGCTGTAGTGCAGCAACAGTGGGATGCCATGCTGTAAGAATTCCAGGTAGAGTGGTCCCACTGAGGCCCTTTCCACACAGCTGAATAAAACCCCATTTTATCTGCTCTGAACTGGAATATATGGCAGTGTGGACTCAGATAACCCAGTTCAAAGCAGATATTTTGAGATTTTCTGCCTTCATATTTTGGGTTATATGACTGTGTGGAAGGACCCTGAATTAGTGGAATTTGCTATTGATGTTTTTATTTCTGCCAAACTTCCCAATGTATTTGTATAGAGACATAAGAGTCTTCAAAATGGGCAGAGAGATAAATGTTCTTTTTATATAGGTACATTACAGCTGTCATTAAAATAAATACAGAATATACACCTAAATAGAAAGGTTGAACTGTAGGATGCTTACCTTTTCACGTAACTCTCTGTTGTCATGGCTGAGGTAGCATGTGCAAATGTGGCAGAGATGCCTCAAATGTGTTTTCAAATCTGAGACATTTTCCTTATGGGGGAAAAAACAATTTTAACCCTTCTTTTAATCATTATTCCTTTTAAACTAACATCAATAAAATTACTGGTTCTCAAAAGTGAGATACAAGGTTCCATAGGGACAATTTCAACCCTATCTACAGATTTTCTAGGTGTATATTGATTACTAGTCCGTGAAGTTGAGACGATCTTTATTATCAGTAACTGGTGATGGGAGCAAGGGCTAGCCTTTTGGTTGGTGCCTAAGTGACAAATAAAACAGATGTCAGACTGCTTATCTGTTATTTATCTCAGGGAAGAACCAAGAGCTCTCAATCAATATATGCAAACATTCACAATTTGTGAAACAATTAACAGATCTGGAATATATGGAATGACTATGGAATGGCTTGGACTACGACTATAGATGGCGTGATTTTAATATGAAATGGAATGTTTTTCAATGTTTAATATATATTTTAATTTTAATCTAAGCTTAAATATTTCCCATGACTTAGTTTGCATTTCTAACATTCTAAAGAGTGGATCAGAACCAATGCAGATTTTAAATAACAAAAAAAGAAAAGCACTTTGATCCTGAATTTGTTTCTGATAAGGATACCACTGCTGTCACATGGTATATCTTAATATTATAATAATTAGCTTTTACAATAGTGGCAAATATTATTCATATCAATTCACCTGGAAGATTTTCACTCTCTGCCTTGCTGACAATACATCATCTAGATGGGGATGGAAAACACAGGTCCTATTCCACTCATCTTTGTTCTGTGACAAATCTCATGAATTTCCCAGGGTTTTCTTAGTCAAGGAAAACTCATGAGTTGCTTTTGCCAATTCCTTCCTCTGAAATATAGCCTACAGGACCTGGTATTCCTTGGCAACCTTTCATCCAAATACTTACAACCACAGAAAAGCTTGTTTTGTGTGATACACATCCATTTCACAACATGTGTAGCACATGCACTTAAACTGTTCACATGTAACCAAGGAGTTCTCCTAACTTTAGATAAACCAGAATATTATGTCACATGCAAGATCGGTAAAAGTCCAAACAACATGCTTCTGATGCAACACATAAAGTAATAGATTACAGATTCTACACAAAGGTTTTCCAAGATTGCCAAATAATAATTTACATCAAAACTGGCTGGCAACAAAGACCATGCAGAAACTATAATTGCCCTTGGGCCTAACCTTGGAAGGTGTGTTCTCTACCACAAAAGCTAGCTGCCAGAGTAGTGCAAAATAAGCACACTGTAATGCGGGCAAAACAACCTGCAAAATAAAAGCAAGAAATTAATTACATTGTCATAATTTATGAAATTTGACATGGACATCTCCCCACAACAAAGGATCAAAATATCCAACCACTATGATTCATGGCAGATGGTGCTACCAACTGAGACAGTCAAGATAGATAGATATTTCCTCCAGTACTATAGTAGTAGCTGTTGCTGGTGAACATAAGCAAGACAGTGCTACTGTCTGCCACATTCCGACTGCATTTTTCTCATAGGCATTAATGGAACACCATGACAACAAAATGCAGGTCTTTTGTCTAACCTATCATGGTTTATCTTATGCTATAACATATAAAATGTAACTTCTTTTACTGAATTTATTTTAGTCTGCTGAAATTTCAACCAGCAAGATATAAAATAGAAAGGTATTGTTGGGGTGCTATCTGACCAAGCAGAACATTTAAATTAGAACCTGATATGCATCATGAACACATCTAGAGAGCTAAATTTTCTGCATTGCAATATTACTACAGTTACCTGAAGAGGTATAGTGCCACGTTCCATTTCAAATACAAGCAGTGTAATCATCTTGTCATAAAGATTCCATTTAGAAAGATCATGGGCACTACAAGTCCAAAAGGAGATAAAGCATGATCCTGTTAGATAGATTTGAACAAATAACTTCCACAAAAATTATTGAGGCAGCTTGTTCTCATTACTTAATTCTCACATGCCCCCATATTCTCCAGAATAAATCTTTACAGTGAAATACAATACATAAATGGAAACTACATATTTTAATCACTTCTTTCAGTAAAGCAAATGCAAAATTACAAAACTGACTAGAGCTTGGAAATTTACTTTTTGGACCACAACTCCCAAAATGCCAAATAAAGTAACTTTTATAAACTCTGATTTTTAACTAGCCTCTAATACAGTCTCCCAACCAAGTGCCCTCCAGATTTTTTGGCTGTGGATAATGGGAGTTGTAGGCTAAGAGGCAGGTGCTAGATTGCGGCAGGCCACACTACTGAACAGCAAAGACGTGTCTCACTACTACTAAAAAAAAAAAATCCTTGTCACGATTTCTACTGAAATTCTTGTACAAAAAATCTGGGCAAGATTTGTGAGTTAACTGCCTTTCTCATTTCTCACTATTTCTGCATATCATTGTTATTATCGATTGTATTGTTTTTAACCAGGGGTGAAATTATGATGTTATGTTGACTTGTTTATTGTTTATGTTTTGTTTTGCACTTGTTGTATTTTGCATGTTACACCTTAAGTGTTCTGTGAGCCACCCAAGACCCTCTGGGAAATGGTGGCAGGATACAAATAGAAGTTTGTTTATTTATTTATTTGCTAACTGTCCCCTGCCACGCGTTGCAGTGGCCCAGTCTGTGTATATCTGCTTTGTGTGTGTGCATGTGTGTATGTGTGTGTGTATATTTGCGTATATGTGTATATACTTGTGTTTGCGTATATGTGTGTGTGTGTGGTTTTGCGAATGCAGTGGTTTTTTAGTTATGTTAATCCCACAAACAAACATTACATTTTTATTGATATAGTATTATTATTATTATTATTATTATTATTATTATTAATTCTTGGGCATTAAAAGAGGAAATCTCATCCCAACAGAATGATAACAAAATCTTAGGAGGAATTCAACTGTGGTGCTGTAACAATCCCTTATTTATTTATTTATTTTATTTTATTTATTTACTATTCTTGTATACCGCTGTATCTCAAGCCCGAGGGCGACTCACAGCGGTTTCCAGACAGCAAACAACAAAGACAATAAAAACAGCAATAATTAATATACCATAACAGTTAAATTACACATTTCCATTACTAGCTAATAAACAAACATCAATACACAGTTATCACAAAACCCACCCCCGATCGCCTCATCATCCAAGCGTGATCCAAATTCGACGTCCATTGTTCCGTTCCTATGTTCAAATTACCAGAATTGCACTGAATTACTCAAACGCCTGCACAAACATCCAGGTCTTCAACTTTCTACGGAATGTCATGAGAGATGGTGCCAGCCTAACATCTACAGGAAGGGCGTTCCCTTAACCTCTAATAGTATGTAACTACTAGAATTCCTGTTCTTGACAAATGCTTAGCATTCCATCTGAATCTGTTAGATACCTCAAGCTTAGAAAAAAGGGAACAAATGGAATAAGTCTCATGAGTAGATGGAAGTAGTTGGCTATGCCAGCCTATAGTCCTAAACACACTTCAAAAACTAATCCCTCCAAATAAATCATACCAATAATATAATGATGCCAGCATTATGGTGCAAAGGGGGCACTTCAAAAAAACAACAATCAAAACAGACCTTTTGCCTGATCTGTTTGATCACTGGACTAGTTTGAAATCAGGGGTGACTGCATTGCATTATCCAGACACATCCTTGTTGTAAAAAATATGTTCCTCCTTTTTCCCAGTATGGGATTCAAGACAATTTAAACAGACTAAAAACACACATAGTTAAAATTCATTCAAAACTCAAAGCTTTTCAAAACTCAAAACCACTTTCTCCCAGTTTTCCCAGCTGGGCCCCTTCCAGATTTATCAGACTACAAGTTCCATCATTCCCTAGCCAATATGTCTAAATCTAAACCTATCAGAAAAAAGAGCCAAGACTAAAAGCCAACATGCTTGCTCCGATATCTGAATCATCTTAGTCTCGTAGAATATATTTGCATATGCTTTTTTCATATCTGAATATATGTGTTTTGCATTTTAACCAAGTTTATTTTCCTTACTATTTTGGATTTTCAGTTAAACACAACATTATTACAGTCATACTTGTTTGCACAGAATCAGGAAAATTAGAAATCAGCATTAGCCAGCATCTCACTTGTAAAAAGCAGCTACTCTTTGCAGAGTGGAGGAAATATGATGAATCTCTTCTTCTTCTGCACAAAGCCCTTCTTCCTAGATCATACACAGGCAAAAGAGAAGAAGATACAGAATTAAGTTTAGAATTCAATTTGTTCTCCCTGAAAATCCTGGAAAGGTTACTTCTTTTAAAAGTAAAGGTAAATGTTTCCCCTGACATTAAGTCTAGTTGTGTCTGACTCTGGGGGATGGTGTTCATCTCCATTTCTAAGCTGAAGAGCAGGCATTCTCTGTAGACACCTCCAAGGTCATGACTGCATGGAGCACTGTTTGCTTCCCTCCAAGGCGGTACCTATTGCTTTACTCACATTTGCATGTCTTCAAACTGCTTGGTTGGCAGAAGCTGGGGCTAACTGTGGAAGCTCACCTCACTCCCTAGATTCAACCTTTTGGTCAGCAAGATCAGCAGCTCAGTGATTTGACCCACTGCACCACCGGGGCCCATGTTACTCCTTAGGGCCTATAAATCCCAGAATTCCTGACAGCATGGCTTACTTTAAAGGGCCTTTTCACTTGAGGAACCATCACATAGAAACCATTCAAAATCTTGTGGTAAAAGAGTAAGCAAACCCTTATTTTATGACCAATGTATAGCTCTATTAAACACCTTACTTTAACTCCTACAGTGCCGTTTGTGTTGCTGACTGGTCTGGGTCTTGACATTAACTTTAATTTATTGTTGTGTTGTCACCAATTACGTTTATTTGAAATTGAGTCGTATTCTGTTAATTATTATAAGTTGCTACTTTATGTTATTTGGTGTTGCTCATTGACTGGGCAAACTTTTGTGTACTTCGTATGTCCTGTATTGCATTTTTATCACCATATAAACCGCCCCGGGTCCCTTTTTGGGAGATGGTGGCGGAATATAAAGTTATTAATTTTAATATGGGTTAATTATACTTATGTAAAATACTTGGGATCAGAAGTCTTTCTGATTTTGAACTCTGTAATACTTGCATATAAATAATGAGCTATCTTGAAGATTGAACCATAGTCGAAACACAAAATGCATTGGTGTCTGATATACACCTTGTATGCATAGCCTGAAGGTAAGTGCAAAATTAATATTTTTAATAAATCATGCGTGAAACAACATTTGGTCACACAGAAGAATCAGAAATTAAAAGCATCAGTATGTCAGCCAACCAAGTAACATATTTTCGATTTTAATATTTTTGATTTCCAGACAAAAGATATTCAACCTCTAATACAGTTGTCAAGTATCCTATTCGATCAATCTGGATCATTCTGACCCCAGTCCCACTAACTTGTGCATATACCTGAAGCAGTGCATTAGAGGAAATGAATGGCAACCCACAAATGCTTGTGATAAAATTAATGTGTTTGTTTTAAGAACCATAATGTCTATTTTGCTCTCCTTTTCATACTGTAACAGAATAGGACACTATCTTTTTAAAAACTGCCAAAATAAACATTGTTTGAGATAATTTTTGTGAGATATTTACTGTATTTCAGATCTCAATTTAAGCACATACACACAGAGTGCATGAGCCTTGTATGCTGGAATGACATCTGTTAGCAATGGCACATATGATCAACTGTTCTTGAACTGAGCCTGCAAGCTATTCATATTTTGAACAGCTGCTCTCATATACTTAGAACCAATGAAACCCTTTTCAAATATTTCTACAGCCCCCTGCTCCCCAAACACACATAAATGGAAATGCAAATGCTCTCCTTTAAATTTGAAAGCTTTGCATGTTGTTTTAAATGAATGAGAAAACACTGATCTAATTGGACCTTGTATAAAAAGCTATTTTATCTAAAAATTAGGATTCAATATTAAGTATCACCTTTCCATTTAGATGTCCAGTTCTTACACTCACCTCATTCCAAGAGTTAACTAAGAGCTGGTTTAGTTTGTTCACCAGTTCATCCACCAGTTCAGTCCTAGCAACAACCACTTTGTTACAGATAGCCAGCCCTTCGCTGCCAAGGACATCGTACACCCTGGAGCAAACCTCCAGGACATCTGTGTCGGTGTGTTTGGTGACAATGGCTTCTACCTCTTTCAGTAAGGCATCCAAGTGCTACAAGGAAAGTAAAAAATGACATATATATCATGAATGATCAACCAGTTGAACTCTGCAGACAAGTTCAATTTGGATTTGGCAGACTTTGGTTTAAATCCTTTTCAATGAATGCACTGCATAACTTTGCACTGCATTACAATATTTGCTCAGAAGTAGTTAAAAAAGAAAAAGCAAAAATCATTCAAAAATAGTAAAGCAGCAACAGTAGCAGTAACTCCTTTCAGAAATATTAATTAACTAGGCATTTTTAATTACAAAAATCTGAGTCAAGCACTGAAATGGTTAAATGGATGCAATGACTCAGCAAAAGATATAGTTCTATATAAGCAGATGATCTTGCAGCTTAGTAGGCCTCTGTGTTAGTTTGCCTCAGTGCGAGAAAGGTCTCAGTCTGTGAGAAGGCCTCACAGTGTAAGGTAGGCCTTAGTCTGTGAGAGAAGGCCACACAGTGTGATAGGCCTTAGTCTGTGAGAGAGAAGCCTCTGTGTGAGGTAGGCCTTAGTCCGTGAGAAAAGCCTCTGTGTAAGAAGGCTTTGTGTGTAAAGCTGCAGTGTGAAGGTCGAACATTATTTGTGTCATGGAAACCTTGTTCTTGTAAATACCAGTATTTTTTTACTATAAAGAAAAGCCTCCTATGGGAGAGATAATATTGGTCTGTGTGTTTTTGTTCTTTTTATCACTTTATCACTTTTGGCTACTGGTGCTGCTGAAAAGGGTCCTTTATTAATGAGCCGACTCGCCCCACAACATCTAGTACCAGCAGTAGAGGGGTGGAGCTTAAGTTATTCAGGAACAGAGTCAAACTTAAAATGCTATAAAAGACTTCATTCAAAGAACTACATAACTGAAAGTAAAGTAAAAGAGAGCCTAGTTATCCAACTAAGTCACAGCAGACATCATGTCTCTCCATGTTAGTCTAACCAGCAGGAGATAGGAGAAGAGAACAGGTAGACAAAGAGGCCAATGAACAAAGGGCTTTTCCTGCCAACTAACTCATCTACCTATCTAAACCATTGATGAGGACTAAAGTTTGTGCAGAATGGCTGACTTCCAACAATATTGAATTGTATAAGTGTTACGAAGTGCCTCATTCATGCTCAACACAGATAGTCAATATCCAAGTCCAGAGGTCATACACAGAAAGTTACTGAATCAAAGTCTAAATTCACAATCCCAGTGCCAGTAAGTCAGTGTCCACGTTTCGATGTCAAACAAGCCAGTAAGTAAAGTATAATTAATTGTAAGACAGAACCCAAAGTACTTAAGTCCAGTTCCAGTCCAGGGTTCAGAAAGTCAGTCAGACACCGAGTTGACGATAACACCGTCCAACAAGATGTTGTCTCCAGCAACAAAACTGTGAACTCAAGAGTCTTTTATGCTAAGGCCACAGGTGCTGCTTGTGGATAGCCTGTTTCTCAGCTAACCTGGCAGACCTGCGTAATTCAGCTTGCTCTCTGCGAAATTACACATGAGAAATTACAATGTATGCCCATGCAAAGATTTTTCATGTCTGCACAAGTTAAGCATCAGCCCTAAGATCACTACAAGCCAAACATATTTTAATAGTGATGGCCTTTGTTGTCAACAATGCTGCAAAGTCAATTCAGTTTCTGGAGCACAGTGCTGAAATGACAAGGCTGCCATCTGGCTCCAACATACATAGCAGGGAGCACCCAGGGAGCAACCCATTCCTGCAACAGCACGCACCCAGGGATCAAATGGCCTATACATTTCAGTAGCTAAAATGAATGAATGGATGAATGACAAGACTAGGGGGGACTTTGGGACCACATGACTTGCAAATCAGTTTCCCATGAAGATATCTTATCTCCTCCCCAATGCAGCCTCTCTTTCTTGCTCACACACACATATTGTTTATTCACCTTGTCCAGGGGTTCAGTACTGTACAGCTCCAAATAAAAATACTGTGGGATCTGCAGGAGATTTATCACCTTTTCTGCATCAGTTGAATACTGGAAAGGAAAAAAAAGAGGGCATAAGAGGGTACTTTTGAAATTCAACTGATTTATTTAATATTCTACTACAGAAGCAGCTGCTGGATACCTTTGCCAAGAGCTGGGGAAGGGCTACAATGAAATGTTCTGTAATTTTCGTACAATCTTCCACTTGTATCTTCTTCTCTTTGGCAGAAAGAACCTGTGGAGAAAACAAATTTTGTTGTGATTGCAGCATAAATAAATAAAATGCTACTGATGAAAGCTTTACGTTGCTTAAAGGCCATACCGCTTAAAATGTCTGTCCACAAATATGTTTTATACTGTGGTTGTTAATTAAAAAGGGTAAGCTTTGCAACAGAGGGTTTTTGTTGCTGTTGAGGGTTTTTTTTTTTGTTCCAAGCAGTGTCCTTGTTTGAACAAAGGAATACAGAGTGCAGATAAAGAAACCTCTGAGCATTCCAGTCATATCCGTATCTTGCAAAAGAGTTCAGCACTTCTAAGTTCTGTGAACAAGCTATGCAGGACTCTTTCAGCATGAACAAGCCAGTGCATTTTTAAAATACAGATGAATAACATTAGGTAATCAGTAGAAGGAAAAATACAGCATGGGTAGATTCTGCTGTCTTTTGAATCTCTAGTTTAGAACAACATAATTCTATTAAGCACAAGAGGCAAAAAAGGAGGGAAGAATGTGTGCAAGCACAGGACTTACTCCCAATTCTCCAGTATTACTTACTCCACAAATAGGATATCAGCAACAGACTTGGCTTTCCTCCCTCCAAACAAGGCAGACTGGTTATTTTAATTTTCATATCCTAATTCTGAAAAATACCTTTACCCAGATAATATAAGTTCACATAGCTATATAGTAATTAGTTAAATGGCTAATAATTTACTGGAGCTTTAAGTGCTAGATGACAAATACAAGGAAAGCACTTGTTTCCCAGCCTGATCCTATAGTTCATAGGACTTTGGGGGATTCAGCATGATTCTGCACATTAATGTGTACAGGACAATTTTCTTATCCATAGATTCAACATCCACAACTGCACTTACCCATGCTACAAAAAAATCCACCCAATCTATCACCTCCAGAAGTGTTTGTGGGTCTTTCTGTGTCCTCCAGTGCTATTCAATGGCATACCTCCAGTCCCATTATAGTCAAAATATAAGCTTTGCTATCATCTGCACTATCAAGTATCCACTGAGAGATGTTGGAATATATTCCCTGAAGATGTTGGGGTTGTTCCATATATGGAGAAGCAGATGAACAAGTGTTTTTAACAGCTTCAACTGCAAACAGTGCTTCCATATTTATTTTATTTATTTAAAACATTTATATTCTACACTTCTCACCCCACAGGGCGAAGCACAACATATATATAGCAAACATTCAATGTCGGCACATAAAACCATAAATATATACAAACATTGAAATCACTTATATCCACTTCAAAATCAGTTGCTTAAAAACCATCCTCCTAGTAAAATGATGTATAAGCTCCAGGTGTACGGACACCTATTCCTTTCAATATTGGAAATGCACGACAAGTTCCTTACTAGTTTTTTTTCTTATTTTTTTATTGTAAGCACAGGTAGAATAATTGTCAAATTTAGTAATCATTTCATAATACAAACAGAATGTTATTCTCTTAATTTTCTTAACATTGCCGAATCCACATTTATCTCCCACCTGTGTCCATCAATATTTATCCCTTTCCTCCCTCTCTCCCCCCACCCTCCAGGAACAGTACTTTCCTTCATTTAAATATTAATGTAATTGATCATTCAGTTCTTTGTAGTTTCCTTTTCCTTTTACTCTAATAAGGGTGTACAAGTTACTGAATGAGACAATGTTTCAACAAGGGTACTCTACAATTAGGGTACTCTACAACGATGCGAAGATCTGCATAGTTAAAGCAATGGTATTCCCCATAGTCACCTACGGATGTGAGAGCTGGACGATAGGGAAGGCTGAGTGAAGGAAGATAAATGCTTTTGAACTGTGGTGTTAGAGGAAAGTTCTGAGAGTGCAAGAAGATCCAACCAGTCCATACTTCAGGAAATACAGCCAGACTGCTCATTGGAGGGAAGGATAGTAGAAGCAAAGATGAAGTACTTTGGCCACATCATGAGAAGAAAGGAAAGCTTAGAGAAGACACTTATGCTGGGGAAAATGGAAGGAAAAATGAAGAGGGGCTGACCAAGGGCAAGATGGATGGATAGGCTCCTTGAAGTGACTGGACTGACCTTGAAGGAGCTGGGAGTGGTGACGGCCAACAGGGAGTTCTGGCGTAGGCGGGTTCATGAGGTCACGAAGAGTCAGAAACGACTGAACAAATGAACAACAACTCTACAATTAATTGCACATTCAAATTCTAGGGAGCAGACATCTCCCCATGCCTTAGGTATATTGCAGCAGACAAATGAGTCTATTTTCAGGGATCATTTGGGGGATGTGTGCATGAAAAAGCCAGAATACTACTACAGTATTAACAAATCCCACTAACTTTCCTGGTTCCTGCTCTGCCTGCAGGGGGATGGCCTTCAGCGGCTTCTCGAATAGTTGCTAGGATAATCTGAATGAGGGCGCTCTCTTCAGCCTTGCTCAGCGCTGTGAACAAAACAACACAGAGTCTCATTTAGTCTCCTTCATAAAGAAATGGAGATTTTAGGATTGCTAAAGCAGTGATTTAGTTCACTTCTCCCAACAAGCTTTAAAAAATGAATACTGGAAGCTTTACTGTTAACATCTCTGTCAAAATAAGCTGTCTTGAATCCAACTCTTGGGTGAATATATAAATCAAACAAATCAAGTAAAGAGAAGCATTTTCTACACAATGCATATTTGTATGCTGTGGAGTACCACAGGATATAAAGAAGGACAAAGCTCAAAATACATTCAAGAAGATATAAATGAATTAAGACCGTATATAGTGATGTATGGAGCCCCTGGTGGCGCAGTCAGTCAAACAGCTTAGCTGCTGAACTTGCTGATTGAAAGGTCGCAGGTTCAAATCTGGGGAGTGAGGCAAGCTCCTGCTATTTGCCCTAGCTTCTGCCAACCTAGCAGTTCGAAAACATGCAAATCTGAGTAGGTACTGCTCCGACGGGAAGGTAACAGCGCTCCATGCAGTCATGCCAGCCAAATGACCTTGGAGGTGTCTACGGACAATGCCGGCTCTTTGGCTTAGAAATGGAGATGAGCACCAATCACCAGAGTCGGACACAACTGGACTTAATGTCAAGGGGAAACCTTTACCTTTACTATACTGCTGTATACATCAACCTCATGCTCAAGGGCAGGTTTAGGGATGAAATTTATAGACTTTCAATATAATCATGCATACATCAAGGGATTCCAGTCGATGGCTGTCATCACCCCCAACTAGAAATTCAAAGAAGGCCAGTGGGCGCATGGTGGAGAGAGTAGAGGAATCGGGGGTTCTTTTAGATTTTCCCAGAATGAACTACACTTTCACCTTCCATCACTCTATTCAGAAAAGGGGGTGGTTCCTTTTTATATAAGGGTTAAGGTACAGTACTTACACTGAACCATGGATAAGTTTATCATTAGAAAGATTTAATCTCACTTCCTGATGATAAAACAAAAGGAAGTGAAATGAAATCAACCCCAAGGAAGATAAATTCACTTCTGGAAGAGCTATTGTGAGCAAAAGGTATTTCAAGCTTTATCACCAATCCTTGTTTCCACAATGCTTCAAATTCCAATCGCCACAGGGACAGAGGTGAAATATTCTGAACAGGAGCACAGATAGCAAAACAAATGTTACTTGGATGCAAACCATTCTGCATGCTATTCAAAAGATTTTTTTTTCAGTTAGAGTTACACTTTCAAAATGTGCCAGTTCTGACTTACATACAAATGTGTTCATAATGCAGGGACTGTCAGTACAATAGTTAATTAAACATCAACGTTTAGTAGCAAAGCTTAGCGCATAGAAAAAAAAACCCCTATCTCCTCTTATATCTGAATGGTTCTTGAAATTGTTCAAAAACAGCTTTTCTGAGCTCTGGCAAATCTAATCAGGGCTACTGGTTAGCAAACATATTTCAACACAAACATCCGCACACATAGAACAATCAATTACTGCATTATTTCTTCAAAATTAGCAATTAATCTCTAAGGAATCCAGTGACAAATTTTATTAAGCAGACAGAAGAAAAGAACTCTGAATTTCCATTTCACTGGTTTAACAATGTACAAACATTTAAACTAGCATTTGGTGATGACAAACGCAAAACCCTTATACCTAAAACTTCACTTACCTCCTCATGACAAGCCTTTGGTTCCCTTGGGAGACCACAAGGTAATCAGCCCTAGTGGAAAGCTGAATGTTTTTAAGCCCACCTACCTTCATCATGATCATTGGTGTTTTCCAGTAAGAGAGCAGTCATGCACTCCCAATCTTTCAATATACTCAGCGCCCAATCCCAGAGGCTGTCTACCAGATACGTGACATGACAATGCAGCTAAAAAGAAAAGGGAAAAAATCCAGACCTTCAGAAAGTGTTCATTTCCTGAATTCCCACTGTAAACCACAGAAGTTATATTAGAGCAGCGGTTCCCAACCTTTTCCAAGTTGCAATCCCATCTTACAGTGGCAAAGTGACCCAAAACCCTGACACATTAAAAATGGGCTTTTAAATAGGGTACATGAAAACACATCAATAATAGTTTTTTCAGTATAATATAATTCAAAATATTGTGAGCTTATGACATATTTAATGTGATGATTGAAATTATAACTCATTAACAAGCTTAAAAATTCACAGTTTGGTTTTCATTAACCAGCCTCATGTCATTCTTAATACATAATATGTTCTTGTTTTGGTTTTCAATTGCAGAAGCATTGAAAATTCACTCTCACAGAAATATGTAGAAACAAAGGAGAGCAAAACTTTTTAAAATTTCCTTTTTAAATTTTCATAGTTCACCACTGTCTGGCAACGCCACACAAAACCCTTCATAACCCCATTTGGGGTCGAAACCCATGGATTGGGAACCACTGGTCTAGAGAGAGGTGGAGCCTATATATGCAGGCACTTCTGTTTTTATCCAACTGCTGAACATTACATGCCTCCAAATTGAGAAAAACTGTATCCTATAGCTTTCATGGCAAGATTTGTTCAGAGGGGCCTTTTCAGCACTCTTCTGTTACATTGGGAGAGTGTAACTTGCCCAATGCTACCCAAGTGGAGAGCATATCTTGCTATCAGTAATTTTAATAAGAAATTACCATCCTTTGTTTCTATCCTTTTTCTTACCATCCCAGAAACCATCAGCCTTGACTTTATCTTAGTTAATTGATCATGAATGTCATCTGCAGGTTTTGGTGACAGTTATGTGAAAATGACCAAACTATGTTGTTTAAGCATCATAGTCTGCATTCTCTTTACCTCACTTTCCAGGAAGAAAATGATTAGTGTTCTCAGTTGGCTAGCAACAGGCTCCCATTTTCCATTTCTATTGACATTAGAGTCGACTTGGCTTTCCTGGATAATCAATCTGTCCACAGAAAAAGTAGTCAGTCAGTTTCTGCTCCATTAATACCAATTACAGCAAGCAACCATCAACCATGTTTTCCTGAATTATTATATTTTCTAACAGCTTAAGCATAATCATATCCACACCTACAAATCCACATCTATCTCTTCAAAAACAAGTAAAATGGAGTTCAATGCACTTATTCCAAGGTTTGCAGCCCAAAACATTTTATTATTTTTAAAAAACATGCACTTATACAACATATTATTTTTAAAATATTAGGACTCAAAAGATGTTCAGCCCACTGAACAAAATCAAAATCAGAAAGGATTCAAGAAAATAGTTTCCTGAGTAATGCACTCATTTTAGAAATAATATATTGTAACATTGAGTTCCAGGAAATATATCATCCTAAAACAGACTTCTCCAGTCTCATTCCTTCTCAATATTTTGGGTTGCAACACCCATCATTCCCTGCCATTAGGGTTTTTTATTGTATATAAAATTTTTATTGTATATAAAATTACCTTCAGGCTATGTGTGAGGTGTATGTATACGAAAAATGAATTTTCTGGGTTGTTGTAGGTTTTTTCGGGCTGTATGGCCATGGTCTAGAGGCATTCTCTCCTGACGTTTCGCCTGCACTTTGGCAAGCATCCTCAGAGGTAGTGAGGCCTGTTGGAGCTAATCAGAGCTAGTGAGGCCTGTTGGCAGTCAGGCCATTTTATGCTAATCAAGGTGGTCAGCTGAAACATTCACACCTAGCTCTAACAGAGAAGAGTTCTTTGTCTCACCCTGGTCATTCCACAGATATATAAACCCTTTTGCTTAGCTCCAACAGGCCTCACTACCTCTGAGGATACTTGCCAAAGTGCAGGCGAAACATCAGGAGAGAATGCCTCTAGACCATGGCCATACAGCCCGAAAAAACCTACAACAACCCAGTGATTCCGGCCATGAAAGCCTTCGACAATACAATGAATTTTCTGTTTAGACTTCTGCACAGTCTCCAAGGTTACATACACAAATGCAAATCCAAGTATTCAAGGACATCTGAAATCTCAAACAACTTTGATCTCATGTATTTTAGAAAAGGGATACTCAACTGCTGTAATCAAAGTCTGTTTTTCTGGAGGTCTGTGAAGATCCAGGAGACTCTGAGTCACATGGTCCACCCATGAATGAATGAAAATCTCCATAGATGGAAAAACTTCAGAGCCAAATGTAATGCCTGACATTCCCCCACTACCATACTTTACAGGGCAAATGCTAATGCTTAAATAGCCAAACAGTTATGAAAATAAAGCAGAACCACCCCTACGAAAGCTATTAGCCAGTTTAACAGAACGCTAATCTCTCTAAAAACCCAAAACAAATGGTTAAAATAAGCAAGAGAGATAACTCACTTTCTCCCAACCAAGTGAGATAACAATACATTTATAAAGAATTTAAAGACAGGTTCCACAATTGTACCATATAAAAATAGGTAAAGGTACCTGTTATAAAGTAGTTCCCCAGCTGCTGTGGCCAGTGGTCGATGTGTGGTGTAAACAAACTGGTATAAGGTTTCACAGTCTTCGGATGTTAACGCATCTTCACAATTCCTGTAAAAAAAAGCATAGTGTTCACAATGCTTCGTAATATAAGATAACATAACCCTATGCAGGCATGTAGCCGGGGAGGAGGCTTGAGGGGCTTCAGCCCCCCCCCCCCCCCCCAAATTCTCAAGTTGGTCCGCAAGAAGGCCTTACTGGTACATTATTTAAACTGTTATGTTTATTCATATCATGATCTGATCACCATGCCCAATATATCCCATATGCATGGGGGTATATTGGGGTAACGATACAAAAGGTTTGCTAGGGTAGACCCTCTTTTCACTCAGACTCAGCCCCCCGAACCAAATTCAGCCCCCCCCCCCCCCGAATCAAACTCAGCCCCTCCCGAATCAAAATCCTGGCTACAGGCCTGATCCTATGTAAATAGCTTTCCATATGTTGACTGGAGCTTACCCAACAGAAAGGATTGTAGCATAAGATGACATTCAGGTAAAATACCAAGTAAGCTTTATGTAAGAATATCTCTTACTACTAGTTTCATGAGAACCATGACTCCTCTTAGCATTCCCCCAACAACAACAAGAGTATCCCTCTGGGCAGCTAAACCAGGAAACCTCAACTGAATGCCCCCCCCCCCCAAAGGGACTGCCTCCAGGGGCAAAGCAAGAATGGGCAACTTGGAAGTCCCTGAACAGACTCAGAAGTGGAGTGGGCAAATCAAAAGATAACCTGGCAAAACAGCACTACCTAGAAGTATCCTCCACCTTGTGTGATTGTGGAGCAGAACAAACAACTCAGCATCAGTATGCTTACCCACAATGCCCTGCCTCATGCACAGAGGAAGAATCATTTAAAGCTATAGACAATGTGGTCACTGTTGCCTGTTTTTGGTCTGAAATTATTTAGTCACTTATGCTCCCTCTGTTGTGTTGTTGTTCATTCGTTCAGTCGTCTCCGACTCTTCGTGACCTCATGGACCATCCCACGCCAGAGCTCCCTGTCGGCCGTCACCACCCCCAGCTCCTTCAAGGTCAGTCCAGTCACTTCAAGGATGCCATCCATCCATCTTGCCCTTGGTCGGCCCCTCTTCCTTTTGCCTTCCACTTTCCCCAGCATAATTGTCTTCTCTAGGCTTTCCTGTCTCCTCATGATGTGGCCAAAGTACTTCAACTTTGTCTCTAGTATCTTTCCCTCCAGTGAGCAGTCGGGCTTTATTTCCTGGAGGATGGACTGGTTGTATCTTCTCGCAGTCCAAGGCACTCTCAGAACTTTCCTCCAACACCACAGCTCAAAAGCATCGATCTTCCTTCGCTCAGCCTTCCCTAAGGTCCAGCTCTCACATCCGTAGGTTACTACAGGGAATACCATGGTTTTGACTAGGCGGATCTTTGTTGCCAGTCTGATGTCTCTACTCTTTACTATTTTATCGAGATTGGACATTGCTCTCCTCCCAAGAAGTAAGCGTCTTCTGATTTCCTGGCTACAGTCTGCATCTGCAGTCATCTTTGCACCTAGAAATACAAAGTCTGTCACGGCCTCCACATTTTCTCCCTCTATTTTCCAGTTGTCAATCATTCTTGTTGCCATAATCTTGGTTTTTTTGACGTTTAGCTGCAACCCGGCTTTTGCGCTTTCTTCTTTCACCTTGATTAGAAGGCTCCTCAGCTCCTCCGCCCTCTGTTGTATTAATTTTATATTAGTTTTATTTATGCAATGATTTCAACACGAAATAAAAATGACTAGTTGAGTGGAAAAAAACATCGAATCTGCCAAATATCAAAGGGCCAACACTAGGCAAGGGTTATCTCCACCCCTGATCCCTAAAACTTTTAAATGCACATGAACCTCTTCAGACATTGTCCATTACAAAGAGGATTTTTAGGGCATTCTGAGTCTATAGAATCAGGGATCTTTTCAGATAATCCAAAAAAAAAAAGCACATTTCACCGGAATCATACTACTGGCCATTCTATGTTTATGGAAAAGCGTTTACATGTGGAACTGGAAATTTGTGCCAAGACCTATTTTTTATTCATTTTATTTATTTGCATTTGACATCTGCTTTTGCTCCTCACATGTTAGGTGGCAGCACCTTAGCCATAAACATAGTCTCAACCCTCAACAAACTGCTGCATATCAAAGTCAGAACTAGCCACTTTGTTTGCTAGCAGCTACTTAGCCTGTGACATGAGTATCTCGCTAACAACTAGCTAACTGGACCTGGCATTTCTGTTGAGAGAAAAGTTGTGGTAAAGAAAGTTCTTGAAAACCATATTATTATTATTATTATTATTATTATTATTATTATCTTTATTTGTACCCCGCTAACATCTCCCGAAGGACTCGATGTGGCTTACAAAGGCCAAGGCCTCAATAAAAACAACAGCATAACAATACACATAACATTATAAAGCAAATCAAAACATTAAGCAATAACAGTAAACAATAAAACAATACACCATAACACAATAAAACTAGGGCCGGGGTAAGAATGGATAAGAATTGATAACTACTAGGGCTGGGGTAAGAATTGATAACTACTGTCACTGTAAACAATGCAAAACTGGAGAATTGGAAGCACAAAGGGATCTGATAGGAACATACACTGCCAGGTTGTTGACACTGAGAGACAAGGCAACCTCAGAAAAATAACAGGCTGATCATTATCACCCTGTCTATCATTTACAGAGAACTGTCTGTTATTTCAAACAAAACAAAACAAACGCCAAGTTTTATTCAATCCTCTTATACTGCTCTCAGCAAATGTTTTCATACAAACACCTTTTATTACATTAGATGTAACACCATCTAAGAATTAAGTAAATCACATTTCAAAAGCCTAGGAAAATGCCAAATACAACAAAATCTATAAAAGAGTAATATAGCATGGTTTTCCAATCCATTGTGGATTTATATTACAGTGTTCCCATCTGGTCCATATTTAACCAATTTGCTAATCAAAATATTACTGGGAGGACTGTGTCAAATGCTTTTCTGTTATCCAGATAAATGACATCTTCGTTTTTGAAAACAACCAGATTAGTTCCTACTGATCACTACTTCATCATCAAGATACTTGTAGAAAGACTCCCGTATAATCGGTTCTGATATTTTTATAGCATTGAGATCTTCTTTATTGTCTTTTTTTTTCTTTTTTGTAAAACAATGTTTTCAGCCATCTGGAACCTCACCTGTTCTCCAAGATTTCTCAAAAATGATGGCAAGTGGTTTAGAGAATATATTAGCAAGTTCCATCTCTTCCTTGGGATGTAGTTCCTTTAGTTGTACAGGTATCAACTCATTGAGGATAGCTTGATGATTCCTGACTAGCTCCCTATCTATCTCGATTTGCAATCCAGATTCCTTGTCAAGGTCTCACTTTCTAGTTCTCTTTTTGGGAGAAAACTCAAGCAAAATAGGTATTGAGTAGTTTTGTCTTTTCATTGTGCTCTCTTGGCACTTGTCTTCCTTACTGAACAACTACTCTACTGCCTTCTTAGTTATTCTCTTCTTTCTAATGCATCTGGAATTTTTAATTTTCTTTTCTTTTTTTATAATTTTTTTGCTGTTTGCTTGTCCAGCCATGCTCGGCTCATTCTGAACATGAACATTCTCATACTATTCCTATAAGCTTGGGCTACTACACATTTCTACACTTCCTTGGTGAATTATCCTTCTTTTCATTCTTTTCTATGTATACTCTTTTTTACTGTTTCCTTCTGTTTTCCATACAGCCACCATTGGCTTTTACAGTTGTTTCTTATTTTCTTCTTCCATCAGATTGTTTGTGATTGTCCTCTCTCAGCCCCTTCTTCTGGAGCTCCTAACAGCACCTTTGCTTTTCTCTTGTTGCAGTTGGTTGCTACATTGACTTCTATATTAGCACGTGGCATTTCTTGATGTTAGCTCCTGTTTGAGCAACTGCACTGTTGCAATCTCTACCAATCCCTTTTCTTTACTCTGCTCCTAACAATGACGTTCCTGCAGGATATTTTCTCACTGTTACAGGCATTTTCCTTGACGGTTTCTTCCTGTCGGTTCTAGATTACCCATTCTCCCTCCATGCAATCCAGGAATATTATCTGATGCACTGCAAGGAACTCAATATGCAACTGTGGTGCCTTGACCCTTTTTTCCAAGAGAGCTACCATTTGCATTTGATGCAAATGTAGTTGGTGATGTCTTCTGTTAAGAAGACAAATATTGTTGATATTGGCAGTAAACAACTATAGATTATTCTGCCTGTATTTCTACAGTAGAAAACATAACTCATAAAGATATTACTGAGAAGAAAGGGAGAAAAAGGCTCACACTGCTAGCTCTAAAGCAGGCCTGGGCAAACTTTGGCCCTCTAGGTGTTTTGGACTTCAACTCCCACAATACCTAACAGCCGGTAGGGCCGAAGTTTGCCTGGGCTTGCTCTAAAGCTTGCTGCCACTCCCTCACTGGTGGCTTTATTGCTCATATATTTCTAATGTTTATTTCCAAACAAATGTTAACAGGTCTGCTTCTGGAGGCCTTTTACACTCCACAGTTACAGCTCTAGGATTCTGCTTTATGCGCCACAGCTGTCATCATACGGAGTTTGAAGTCTACTGATGTACTAAAGCTCTCTAACAATTCCTACCCCAAACTTCAAATCCAAGAATTTGGTAGGATATTGCTATGACAGTTAAAGTGGAATCATTGCACTATAGTTGTGTAATGTGGAAAGGTCCTTCATAAAATGTTTGCCTAACTTAACAATGGTGCCTTATAAGAAATAGTGGCTTTAAATGAGGTTAAATTTCACTTCAGTAGCGGGGGTTTGGTGTGAGATACTTTTTGAGAGCAATGTTTCTGCTGCAAATATGGGACACCCAAGTGCAAGATAAAGGTTAAGTCAGAAGTGAATGCCAGTATTTAAATGTCTAAAAATAGGTTTGGCCTTCATATACCAAATCCACCTTGTATCATTTCTCTCTGCATTTCACTATGTTAGAACCTGAATAGAAGGTGTAGCTAAGCAAAAGGGGGAGCTTTCCAGGAAGAAAACAGTAGTTTAATTGCTTCTGGAAATATAATGGTTAGTAAGAGTTTTCCAGTGACTCTTTGGCCCCTTCCACACAGCTGAATAAAATCCCCCATTTTTTTGCTTTGAACTGGAATATATGGCAGCGTGGACTCAGATAACCCAGTTCAAAGCAGATGTTGTAGGATTTTCTGCCTTGATATTCTGGGTTATATGGCTGTGTAGAAGGGATCATTCCCATTTCATGGAATGACCCTGATAAGATGGCAATAAGATTTTCAAAAGCCTAAAAATGTTTTCAACTTCTATTCAGCTCTTATAAAGAATTCATATTGCTGTAACTGCAATGACAACTTCAACATTGACATGTGCATTCAAAGTGTAATCCTAAAGAACAAAAGCAAACCAATGTGAGGCAACGAAAGCAGCAAACAAGTGAAGAGATGGTGCAAAAAAACAAATACTGGAAGAAAAATGAGCTGGAAGCTGTAGAAAGACCTCATTTTATCAGTGCCAGAAGACAGGGACAACCTTTATCAACTGACTGGATGATTGTTTTTTCCCTCTCTAAATTAAGAGAAAGGCTATTTGGCATCTTGCATAATTTCTCCTACTAGATCTAAGCATAAATAATCAGACCCATTTCAGGGCAGACATACTTCATTTCCAAAACAGTATTGCAGCTGTTAACTGTGGCTCTTGTTTGCAAATGGAACTGACAGTAAAGGATGCAAGTAAAAGATCTCCTCTCATTCACAAAAGAGGTCCATACTGCATAATAATAGAAATCACTACCAGAAACTCATGGTCTGAGTTATAAACGAGCTCCTAAAACCACAAACTGTGAGATGCACTTGAACACTATCACCTGAGAAAAATGATAATATAGTATTTCATTCATTCTGGATCTGTTTGGAGTATAAATAAACATATATAAAATTGAGGGCAAGGAAAGTATGCATCCAAAATGCAACACTGCATTATGATCTTATTTGGGTGGTGCAACTCTCATCTATTTTTAACAGGAATGTACATTTTCACTTATTTCGTTTTGCATAGACAACTTCGAAGATTCTATCCCCGCCCTCCTAGATATAATTGAGGTAAAATACATTTTTGCATATTTTTCATATTTCAAGACTTTTTGTTTTTAAAAAAGTAATGTTCTACAGAAGTCCAATCCATTTCTAGATACACTGACGGGGCAAATTTTCTGAAGTCTTTGCCTCTATCTTTCCTGATTGGATCTCCCTGTTTTTATGACCCAAAATTCCTCCCTCCTGCAGTGTTAAATCCCTCTGCTATTTGTAGAACTATGCTCACACACTGATATTCACGTCTAGTATTTCCCCTTGAGTCATCCCTTACAAATTATCCAAGGGCTCATTTCCAAAAAAAAAAATTCTCAACTCCTTGAACTTTAGCCTCCTATTTCTAGTGCTCCATATTTAACAAAGCATAATAAATGTATACTAGTTAACTTTCCAGACTAAAAAAACCCCTACAATCTGAACAAAGGATTACCACATCCCTATTTTATGCCTGTTGCCTTCTTTGAAAATCTGGCCTGAATGCCATGGAATAAAATTGATGAATGATAAACAGACATAATAGGCCACACAGATGAACACTGGGAAATATATACCAATGCTGAAAATCATTTAGTTGTCCTACTTACATGGATTATAATCAGGCTATTTAGTATCAGATATCTGGCAAATAAAGAGGGCAAGTCAGTAGCTAATTAAATATATATGAATTAGCTAAATATCCAAGAGCTTAACGACAGCCAAAAAAAACCCTCATGTGTAACTAATGTGCAATGTAAGACAGCTGAGTATTTGTACTCAAACACTTGATGCACACTGGGAATGTCATGCACACAGTGGGCTATAATCCATGTCACCTCCTACTGTCTAAAAACCCAAAAAACTTCAAACAATATTCAATAACAGAAGAGAAAAACCAGAAAAAGATATGCAAAGCTCCTAGCGTTCATTTTGAGGTAGAAGAAAACACCAAAAAGCTTGCACATATATGTTATATAAACCCAGAGGCACAGTGGGTTAAACCGCTGAGTTGCTGAACTTGCTGACCAAAAGGTCAGTGGTTTGAATCTGGAGAGCAGGGTAACCTCCCACTGTTAGGCCCAGCTTCTACCAACCTAGAAGTTCAAAAACATGTAAATGTGAGTAGATCAATAGGTATCGCTCTGGGAGAAAGATAATGGCGCTCCATGCAGTGATGCTGGCCACATGACCTTGGAGGCATCTACAGACAATGCTGGCTCTTTGGCTTAGAAATGGAGATGAGCACCATTACCCAATGTCAGGAATGACTAGATTTAATGTCAATGGGAAATCTTTACCTTTTATATAGCGATTTTGTTTTTTGGGTGAGCTTGAATCTTTAAAAAACAATTTAATGCTCTATACAAGTATACCTCAGTTAATAGAAATGGTGATGATGATTACAGGAAAGGAGATTCCATCTGAATATTAGGAAGAACATCCTGACCATAAGAGCTGTTCAACAGTGGAACTCACTGCTTCTGAGTATGGTAGAGACTTCTTATTTGGAGGCTTTTAAACAGAGGATGGATGGCCACCTGTCTTTCATTGTGCTTTTCCCTGCATGTCAGGAGGTTGGACTGGATGGCCCTTGTTCCATTTCTGATTCTATGATATTTATTTATATCTTTTTTTTCTCTAACAAAAATGGCATCAATGTTAGAAATATCATGGAAGATATATGGATATGTTTATACACCACAAAAATAGAAAAGTAGCTGAACATGTTTCAGCAAACCTTTCATTCAAAACTAACAATCTGCACATGGAAAATGAAACAACCAATCTAACTCGCTAGTCCTAGACGGTATATATATATTTAGTTAGGTCCATTCAAATAACATTTCCTTTTCAAAGATGTCCAAACACTTCGGCTATATCCACACTATGCAATAACAGGAAAGTCAGAGATTATGAACAGCTGCAATGCCAATGCAATACTTGTTAGTTCAGATGTAGACCAAGAATAACGCTGAATGGTTTTTAAGACAGCATTGTATCATAACAAAAGCACATAACGCCTCCTAGCACAGGATTAGCTTCAGCACAGAACACTGTACTTTGTTCTACTGTTTATGCACCAGGAAGAAGCAAACACCATGCAGAAATAACACTGTTCTGCTACTGGCAGGGGTCATCTGCCTCCCACGGGAGTCACTGGAACAATCAACGCTTCTCCCTCTTATTGCTAAAAGAAGCAAACATGGCATGAAATCAAAATGAACAGTGGGCAGACAACAGATGCACTTGGCAATTATTCACTTCTGTGTTGCACACACAAATAGAATTCTGAAAGTGCCCAAGCTTAAAATTGATGCAATGCCAGTTTTAAAAAAAATGTTAAGTACAGACCCATGTTTTTAACATGTTACAATCAATCTGACCATTATACTACGTAGCAAAATTTAGAAAAAAATCTGTTCCTGGTTTGAAAGTATTATTCCCTGTTTAATTGTGCAGTACTTACTTTGAAAGTAGTTGAAAAACTTCGTTTTTGTGGCTGCCACAAACCATGTTGAATTGGCTAAGACTCTACAAGATATTCATTGAAAAACTGTAGCAAAATGTACTGCAGGATGCCAGGGAAAAACAAAGTTTTGCAGTTTAATAAACTTTTTCTAAGTTTTTATGATAGATCCAATTAGAAAATGACACTTATAATCCAGGAACAAAAATCATGTTACGTAGTATAATCTATTGGAGGCCTGCACAACCTTTGGCCCTCCAGGTGTTTTGGACTTCAGCTCCCAGAATCCCTGACCATTAGATGAACTGGCTAGGACTTCTGGGAGTTGCAGGAAGAAACACCCGGAGGGGCACAGATTGTTCAGGCCTGATTTATTGTGACCTTCCAGAGAATTGAAATGTTACTTTAGGCTCTTAGTCCCATAATTCATTCAGCAGCCAGTGGCCATATTACCAAGATACTGACTCTATACCCTTTTAAGATAGAGCACATGTACAAGGGTGGACCAAAAAGTTTTGCCACTTGTGTTATAAAATATTAACATATAACAGCAGAAATTGACACAGATGATAGCCTGGACTATCTTCTACGCAAAACTACAGATTGACATAGTCACCATCAATTTGTACACATTTGCGCCATCGTTTAACCCAGGCATCAGAACAATTTTGGAGTTTTGCTTCATGACTCATGATTTTAAAGCTGTTTTAACATATTCAAGTCATTGAATCTAAAACCACATAGGTTGTCTTTCAGAGATCCAAACAGGTAAAAGTCAGACTCATTTATCCACATTGCCTTTCAGGCATAGGAATGGAATGTCTGAAATGGAATAAAAAGATGCTCAGGGCTGCCTGACTTTATATCCATGCAACTAGGATTGGAGATGAAAAGCTCTCACTCCTTAGTCCTTATCCTGCCCCCCCCCAAATAAAAATAGGGTACGGTGGTATCTTTGACTTGAAAGTCTAAAATTTAGTTGAAAGTATCACAGATTCAAGGCTGCGAACTGAAAAGTGCAAAATTACATAATGTACACATTTTTTAAAATACAAGATGTTCACTATCACCACAGAAAGTGAAATCAAAAGAGCTCCCCTTTGTATTGAGAACCTTTTTTGTCAGGCTTCAATTTCATGACAAAGCATAGGCATGCAATTTGAAAAACCCCATAATAATATATGCTTGATTGCAATATGTCATGCTACTGAAGATTTCTCAACCAGGTATAAATGAATGGCTTAACACCCCCACTCCCCCACCCCGATTGGTGAATGGGTCATATATAAATGGAAAAATTATTTACTGTGACATTAGCATCAAGAGTTTCATGGCTTGAACGGCTACTTCATGCTCCTTGTCCAGAGACATGGATACAATTCGATCCTAAAAGATACAAAATGAAAATCAGATTGAATAGTTCCTGACAGTCTTTCCTGCTGGCATCTGTCTGATTGCATGTCCTTAAGGACAATGTTAAGTGCTTCTTCAGTTTTGTTAAAGCAAAGTGAGTGTCAAGCTAAGATTCAGAAGAGACCAAGTGCCAATTCTAATCAGAAAAACAACAAAGCACTGTGCTTGTGACAGAAATCATGTGATCCATAAATATTCAAGTATTTTTAAAGGGCTGATGAGGACAACTCCAGCTTGCAACAGACTGTTCACAGCCCCCCCTGCAGGCTTTAATATGAATATTAGAATTCTTCTGTTTAAGGATACCACTGAGCACTTTCTGAGGCTGGATCTACACTGCCATATAATCCAGTTACTGACCTCAAATTATCTGCTTTGAACTAGAGTATATGGCAGTGTAGACTCACATATTCAAAGGAGATAATCTGGGATTAAATATTGGGTTATATGGCAGTGTAGATCCAGCCTGATTTCCAAATGCACAGATGACTTCCACTACTGAAAACTAAAATTTCATTAACTGGGATCACTTATAAGAAAACTGAACTAGGTTCTCATGTATATGTGTGTATGCCCAACTAATTACACTTTTAAAATTAAGTTCACACGTATTTTTAAAACTAAGTGTGAACTAATCCTGTTAGTGCTAGAATCACTTCTATACATGCATGTACATGTTACAGAATCAATATATCTAGTGCATAGACATTTTTGTGAGACAGATAAAAACATAAAGAACTAATTGAAACCTTGTACAATGAATGTACTTTCAAGTGCCAATATGTCACAATTAACATCCAAATTGAGACAGAGTACTCTGAAATAGTATTTTTAATAAATTGTGTGTAGTGTTAAACGTGCAATAGCTATTTGTAGGGTTTTTTTAAAACATGTGTGTTGTATTAACCATAACCCTAACCCTGGACCAGGCTTTAAGGCCACACTTTTAGGCTGGGAGGGACAGGGAATACCTGTTTCTAGAACTATCAGTCAGATCCTGCCAAACTACAGTCCTTGATCATGGTGAATTCACAACAAAGAACAGTATCAAATGACTTCAAAAACTATAAAAGCAAAATCTACCCCAAACTGTCATATTTTATGAGGCAATATGATAAGGGTCAGAGTAGCCTCTGATAAAGAGTACAATTCTGATACACCAGAATTCTCCTTTTATTTATTGACAATATTAAATGTATACACACCTGATGACAAGTCATGTGTGACAAACTTTCCAGCCATAGGGGCAAAACCAAGAAAACCAGGGAATTCCAGGCAGGAAACAACCAAGGCCAGCTAACACCACCCAACAAAGGATTCCCCCAGGCAGGAAGCAGCCATGCTTTGGAGCTCCAAAACCATTCAATGCTAATCAAGATGGCCAATTGCAACATTCACACTTGCCTCAAGCAGACAAGAGTTTTTTCTCCTACTCTGGACATTCCAGAGATATATAAACCTCACTTGCCTAGTTTCCAACAGACCTCACAACCTCTGAGGATGCCTGCCATAGATGTGGGCAAAATGATAGGAGAGAATGCTTCTGGAACATGGCCATTCAGCCCAGAAAACTCACAGCAACCCAATCATAGCATAGCCATTCAATGCTTCATATATCATGTTAATATAAAACATGGGGAAGAGTTTGTGTCTTCCAACCTTTCACAAACTGATCATGCCTAAAAATGTATACTAATTCTGGTCTATCCTTCACCCAGGGTACCTGAGTATATTTCAAACTTTGCAAGGAATTTTTAAAAAAATATCTGAATTTTCATCACTTTCACCAAACTACAGTCATCCTTCTACATTAACTGGAGATAAGAGCACAGGGCCCACCCCACCCCCACCAAAGGTGAGAAAAAGTGAAGTTTCTCCAGAACAACTCCATAGTGAATTACCACCAGACCTTGATAATGCATTCTCACTGGAGGACCTAGAGATTCCTAGAATCAACAATTAAACAAATCTATGATTAATTGAATCCACAAAAGTCAAACCCACAAATGTGGAGGGTTGACACCATTATATTGTTACTCCTCCCTCAATACTTCAGGCCCTAATTATAGATTCCAGTTTAACTTTGAAAGTTATTTGCCCAACCAGGTCAACCAATCAAAATACTAAAAATGAAAAACTTTACTAATGTTCATCTTACTTTGAACCTGCTAGTGAACAGATCCATTTTATAAACAAGGTCCTTTTGGCCATAAATTCCCTGTAGTCCCTGGAGGCACTTCAGTCGGACTTCGGGTTGCTGGGAGACAGGAAGGGACAGAATAAGAATGATGTTCACATTTGAAGTTACATGAATATCAAGACTGTGCAACTGAGAATTAATTCCATGTTTAAATAAACTAATTTGTTCAGTGCCAATCCTTATGTAACTAAAAGTAGCAATGCACCAAAAAGAGACCTATAGACAAAAATGTCTAACAGAAGGGGAAAACTCCAAACAGTACAAAAAATATTCAACCTCTGTGGAAAAAAAGGAGAAAACTTGGATTGGAGGAAGAAAATGGAAGATCCTGGAAAGTATTCCTGGCTGCTTGCACACAAAAACATCTTGTTAATGACGCCATTTTACTAATACTCTATACAATATAACCAAATGTCAACATTCATTGCAATCTTAGCAAAGGAACATATTGCCCTAACAGAATATCACTAGTTTTTACAGTTGTGCAGTTAGTGACCCTTTTGTGAACCTGAAGCTTGTACAATTGGAAACTGGATTCCCCACTCCTTAAACAGAGTTGAGAACTAAGCAACCAGAAAACAAATGCAAATGATTAACATAGACCAGTATTTCTCAAACTCTACTCCTCCAGATGTTTAGGACTTCAGCCCCCATAATCCCTAACAGCTGGTAAACTGGCTGGGATTTCTGAGAGCCAACACACCTGGAAGAGAACAGTTTGAGAAACATTGACATAGACAAGTACTCTGTCCACTACCAATCCTTAAACGGTCAATCAACATATTAGTTGCCACTCAAATGGAAAACTAGGTTTTGCAAGAACTTAAAAGTCTACAAAAGCATTTCCCAGATCAATTGGAATAGAAAACTTTAAATTGCTGTTTCTGTAGTCACTATCAATGTTTGCTGCTTTAGCACAGTAAATTAATTTAAAGTTAACAGTTTCCCAACGTGCTTCAATGTCTACCATTATTATATAATGAATTCAAACCATCCTATAATTAATTTACTTTAATCCAAAATGAATTTTAAGTTTTACAATAATATTTAATGCATTAAATTAAACTTGAAAGGTAAAAGTAATGACATTTTTTATTTTTTTAATACTTAATGAAGCCATCTGTATATTGTAATTAAAGAAATATCAGATGACAGGCAAGGTATGAACGAATGAATGACAGTACTAATAAGTGTTTATGATAAAATAAACAAATAAATCCATTTTGATTTCATTTATATCAATTTTTGTAAATTTCTACTCACTTCCCCCCTTTGAGTACATTTGTGTGTACTCGTTAACTCTTGAAAAGCTTGCATCCTGAAAAATAAATTGCATTAAAACTTTTTTCAACTATTAAGAACAGAAGGTGGGGGAAAACTTACTTTATCATATAGCATCCATCCAATGTATTTCAAGTAACTATCATTTAAGAATGTATCAGGATACATTTTCATCCAGCTGCCCATCTCTTCAATGCAGATCGCTCGAATTTCTGGAATAATATCACTTTAAAACAACAAAAATAAACAGTATTGTCGAAGGCTTTCATGGCCAGAATCACTTGGTTGTTGTAGGTTTTTTCGGGCTGTATGGCCATGGTCTAGAGGCATTCTCTCCTGACGTTTCGCCTGCACTTTGGCAAGCATCCTCAGAGGTAGTGAGGCCTCACTACCTCTGAGGATGCTTGCCAAAGTGCAGGCGAAACGTCAGGAGAGAATGCCTCTAGACCATGGCCATACAGCCCGAAAAAACCTACAACAACCCAAAAATAAACAGTATTCATGACCCAATATCTATGTGTATGTGTGTATATGTGTGTGTTCATGTATGTGTGTGTATATATCTGCATTAATTCACATCCCTTGATTAATCAACAGGCAAGAACTGGTGACCACGTGCACAAAAAGACTATGTGAATGGTATCATCTTACATAAAACTTCCACCTGAATGTAGTCACCAGCCAGACATACATGACAAGTTGAAATACAATTCCCATCACTTCAAGACTATGTTTTCTAAAGGAAATAAAGCTGTAGACCAACACATCTGGGATGTACCAGTTTAGGGTAAGCTACACAAAGTATGCCATGATGCTGCAGGTTTCAGGTCATGCATATGTGAATGATCCTGTAGGTGAATGGCCCTTCTCATCCAAGCTTCCAAGAGAATATAAAGACTCTTACCGATAACGCTGCAAAAAAGTCCCTTTGAAAATGGCATTCATCATATTATCCATCTCCAGATGTTTCTGTTCAAACTGAAATTAGAAGAATGAAAATTTTCCCCAAATGGGTAAGATTTTATTCCAATACTAAAGGTAATTTCACTTAATAACCATACCGAATAAATACCACTTAAAAAATATATCAGAGAAGTATGAAAGATTAGACACGAAAAGGATGATAGCTATAGTTTTCCCTACCCTCAATAACTCAACCAGAAAAACTAGGTTGATTATATTTAGCTGATTTCCTTTCAATATATGAATTTTCAGTTGTTAAGTAAACCACAGAAAAATGGATCTCGTATCACCCCACAGCTCAGATGTGAGGAACTCACCACTTTCCATATGTTAGCAGACATCAGCATCTTTGAGCCTCACCCAACATTACCAAAATATCAGAATTATTGAAGATGAGACCAACAATGTATGGAGAACCACTGATGTACCACTCACAAACAGAAACTACTTTTATTCACTGGAGGCCTGTGTTTGTGCCATTTACATTTAGTAAACTGGTTGATACATAATTACAACAGGTAATTTCCCTCCCTCTTGACATTTCGGAGGCAAGTTAAAACATGGCTATTTGAGCAAGCGTTTACAAATACAGAGTAGCTAATATAGGAAACTGAATTACCTGACAATGGAATTGGACAATGCTTGAGAATAATGAGACGCTGATGATGTTGCTTTTATTGCTTTTATGGTGTTTTATACTGTTTAATGTTTTTTATCTATTATGTTTTATGTATACTGATTTGTTGGAAACCGCCTTGAGTTGCCAATTGGCTGAGAAAGGCGGTATACAAATACAGTAAATAAATAACTTCACAAACATCCTCGACACCATTCCATGCCATCATCATGATCTTGGATCACAATTAGGAAAATGTGTAAATGCAGAGGATTCCCAACCTTGTAGAAAGTCTCTATAAACTATGTCCCACTAATCAATAAACCTCCACATTCTTCTTCTACCCACATGATCCCACAAACAACACAATGTAATGCAGAATTCACTCATCCTCCTTAGATGAGGGCCCAGGAAACCATTGTAGTCCATTGCCATATCATGCATAAAAGTCACCCACTAATCATCAGCAATGACTTTCAGTGATTGATCTGCGGCTTCCTTTGGGCCACAGCAGCTGGAAAATGGGCATTTTATGAATCATTTTCAACCTCCCAATAGAAATCTTTGCTACCTCTTTTTTCTTCTTTTCTAGCTGCTCCAGTCTTGAATTGGTCTTCTTGCCTGCAGCCCTGGTTTTTTCCACTTCATATAATCTTTCGAGGTTGTGCTTACTTATATCTAGATTGAGACTGAGATTTACAAGTGCTGTCAGAAGCTTCATAGCTGGAAACAAAAAGAAAACAAAGGAAACAAAACTGCAAAGTCAAGTCTGGAGTCTTAATGTATCACAGTTTAGAATTTATTTTTTAAAAAGACCACCACAAATCTTCCTCAGTTTACTGTTCGAAGGGGTGAGGAATACAACACTCCTGGTGCTCTTTAGATGTCACCAGTGAACCACTTGGATGAAGAGTGGATGGTAGGATCAAAAACATAGCCATGCTAGTTTGCAATATCAGTATGTAGAGCCTCAGAAATTAAGTGACAGAATGAAGCTGGTAGTATAACCTTCTGTAGACTGAAGATGCAGATTCTGAGGAAGTAGACTCAAGAATCATAGAGTTGGAAAAGACCACATATAGACCATCCAGTCCAACCCCCTGCAAAGCTACAAAGTCCTACATGGCCCCGTTCCAGGTTATCTGAAGGATTGCATCTCTTTTTATGAACCTGGGAGACATCTACGATCTACTGAGGAGGGTCTTCTCTCAGTCCCACCACCCATTCAAGCACACTTAGTGGGAACACAGGAGAGGGCTTTTTCGGTGGCTGCTCCCAGACTGTGGAACTCCCATAAGAATTAAAGATACAGCTGTCTGCTGACATGTTTTAGTGAGCCTTAACAATTCCATTTTAACAATGCCCAACATATTCCCGTGGCCTATACTGTTTGCTGAGCTCTATCATTTCTGTCTAAGAATAAGAATAAAAATAATGTAGTTAAAATAATAAAATAAAACAGAGCACTATTAAAATAATATAACAAATATGCACAGGTAAAATGCAGTTTAAAATGACCAATAAAACCCAGGTTAAAATTAAGTTCAAATTGTCTGGGTAGGCCTGCTGGGAGAGATGGGCCTTGGGTTGCGTCTTGAATTCCGAAAGCTGATTTAGCTATCGAAGCGCTTCCAGCAGGTCATTCCACAGTCTTTGGACGGCCAATGAAAAGGTGCTCAAGGTGACAGTTATGAGTCAGGTTCTGGCTGGTTGGAGTAAGCATCCCCCAGAGGACCTGTGTTCTAAAGGGCGGATTGTACAGGAGAAGGCAATCCTGTAGATAACCTGGACCGAAACCATGTAGGGCTTTTAAAGGTCAAAACCAACACTTTGTACTTTGTCCAGAAACTAATTGGCAGCCAAAGAGGTGACATTAATATGGGTGTGACATGTCCACTCCTAGATGTTCCTGCGACTAGTCTTGCTGCTATGCTTTGAATTAATTGAAGTTTTCTAACTTGGTTGCAGAAGACCAACCTTGAGGTTACCAGAGAATGCACTACCATCTTAAGGTCCTTCAGCTCTAGGAAGGGGTACATCTGGCATATCAGCCAAAAGTAACTGCAATATTATGTGCCCATAAACAACAGTTGGTGTTATGGTTACATACAGTACCAGATCTTGGAGCATCCTCTTGAACAACAAACAAGATCTACCTACATACTCCTCTGGTCGCAAAATTCACAGATAAAGATAACCACAGTAGATATTGCTCATGCACATTTTGCCTTTCTCTGCATAACTCTGAAGTCCTATAAAATACCACTGCTTGAAATAAAATTTATTTGTATCAGTCAGTGCTGTGAGTAGGTTGGACTGAAACTAGTGCTGGGGCTTGGTAGATACTTTGGCCAAAGTTATTGTTTGCTTTCCTGTTCAATTTCAGGATATAGCCTAGTTTTATGTCCAATCTGAGAGGATACAGTACGGATGCTATTTCAGTCCTATTCAATCAAATGACAAACAAACAAGCAAAAAAAAAAAACCTGACCATAATATAGCTTTATAAGTATATTTTTAATGTTATAAAACTCTGAAATAGACAATTCAGCTTCTTTACCTCAGAGTGCTTCCCCTCTTAATAACTATGCAGGTTTTTTATGGACAAGTGCAACTTACAAAAACCCTACTACAACACTGTGGGGCGCCCGATTAAATCCTGGTTGACATACATCTGATGAGCAGCCATCCTCACTCTGAACCTACCAACAATTCCTACAAACTTTCTACTCCCAAATAATGGGGGGAAAGCAGGCTAGCCTTACATACCTGCTAATGTGCTGGTGTGCCGGAATGCTCTGACCATTGAATCTGCCAAACCCGTAAGGAGAGAGATGATGGTATCCATCAAATAACTGTCATAGAGGATGATATACTGACACTGTTCAACCAGTACTGCAATGAACTCACAAAAATTTGCTCTGAACTTTTTCCAGTAGGCCCCTGGTTTGATGAGCGGATAGTCTTCATTGTCCTGAATGAGGTAGAGGGAGGAAAAATATCCTGAAACTTGACGAGGATATGACAAAGCCTAAAAGTCTGATGGAGAGCTTCTCAATGAACATGGCTGAAAATCAGTACTTTTTTATTACTTTGAAGATTTCTACAAGAGGAGAAAAAAAATATGTGGCACACTTCAAAATTCAGAGTGCACCATGAAACAGGGGTGAAGAAAGTTTCGCCCTGCAGATGTTGATGTGCTACTACCCTCATTATTCACCACCCCTGGTCAGGCTGACTAAAGCTGATGGAAACTAGAACACAACATTGTGCAGATATTCACAGGTTCCCCAATTCTGCTGAAAAGAAGCACTGTATTGAGAACCTCTAGCCACAAAGGACAGCCACTGTTTTCAAGGCATGTTATATATGCAGTGATATCTACATGAAGAGTCATGTCAGAGAACTCTGCTTATGACCAGCAGAGTGGAGGCTTTCTCATGGGATTTGCCAAGAAAACTTCAATGCCATACTAAAAGTCAACACACACGTTTCTTGTCTGTATGTGTAGCACTAGTGGACATATATCAGCCCAAGCAATGACTACCCCATTAAGCATTGACTTAACCAAAAAAAAAGGCTCATAATTGTCCCAGAGCCTTGGAATACTAATTCCCACTTTTTTCCTTTCTCTTGAAATATTAGAATGGAAGGTTGCAATTTGTTCTCATAATACAGTATCAATTGAGTATATTATTATTATTATTATTATTATTATTATTATTATTATTATTATTATTACAATTGCACTAACATGAATTCAATTGTCTCAGCAACTGCTGGCATATTACCTATATGAATAGCAAAAATTCTGGTTCAAAGGATAAGAGAAAAGCTATGCTTTGGAACTCTTCTCAATGGAAAGCATACAACATTAAGAACTCTACAGAACAATAACATGAACAACTAGGACAGACCAGGTCAGAGTATTCCATGCTTCAAACTTAGTTCATACAGACACAAAGGTACTGAAACCACTTTTGTGACATATACAGAAAAGTAATAGTTAATTAGTGTCTGGATGAGCTGGTATCTGAAAGGGATACTACTTGGAAACCCTAAGTACACCATCAAGGGTTTTTTTCATAGAAAAAAAGTGAAATATAAATAAAGAAAAATTACCATATCCACTGGCCAAGTAACTGTCAAAATCCAGGGATAAGCCATGAACTTCTTATACTGCAATCCAGTTTCCTGTTAAAAACAAAAGACAATTTGAGAAGTTGCAGCAGCTAATGGTCTGCTTCAGTCTTACTCAACCTGTGTCCTCCAGGTGCGATGAAGCCATGATAACTGGGGATGAAATTGTAATCAAACACAACTTGAGGACACTATATTAGGGAAAGTCATCAAAACATCGTCATATATGCGCACGCACACACAAGCAAACCTGGCACTTGTGCACATGAAAGCTTTTATACAAGCAATGATATATTTATTGCCTTCAAGATCCAGGTGGTTCTTTCATCACTAACATGCAGAGAAAATCTGAAAAGCATAGGTGGAGCACAGGAAAGCTTAGAATCTGAATGAATGTATGACTGAACTTTATTGCATGAAAGTGTTTTTATGTTGAATGTTTTTATATTTATATTGTGTAATGCTATTTTAAATTGTAAGTCGCTCAGAGCACCTTGGTGGAGAGTGACTAATTAAGAAATAAAGTGAAGGTGGCAAACTGGCATTGAAACAGGACTATCATGATGCCATGGACAACCTGTTGACATTCTGCCACCTCCCTGAAAAAAAAATCAATCAACCTACATCACACCACAGTCTTGTCAGAATCCTCTGTGGATGCCAAAATCCAAGGATGCTCAAGTCCCATTATATACAATGGCTCCACCATAATTGAACACGATTGGCCCAAAATACCCAAGTGTTATGTAGTACAGTAAAGTTACTCTCTAATAAGCTTGTCAAGAATCAACTGATTAAATACAGCATTCCTTTGGGAGAAAGGGAACACACCTCATCAAATGTCTCTGTCATTTTCTGCATCACTTCACAGTTCTGTACACTCTGAAACATCTCTGCTGTAACCATTCCTATGGAAAAAACAATAAAAATGGAAATTAAACTGAACACAGGGTATCCTCATAAAATCCCTTAAGTATTAAGGCTGGAACTGCATATATTTAAAAGTCAGTACACTTTATAGCAAACTTTGTTATACATTCTTGCCTGCTTATTTTGCTTCCAAGGTCATTCTTCCCCAATCCTCAGATGAGAATCTGGATATTTATTTATCGTGTCATCCGCAACCAGAACATTGTATTACATTTCTAACAGAACAAAACAAACAAACAGATAAAAACCACAAATTTTGCAAACTTGGTAGCTGATTAAATGTCCTTTGACCAGTATCTGGCCACTTGGAGTGCCTCTGGTGTTGCTGCAAGAAGGTCCTCCATCGTGCATGTGGCAGGGCTCAGGGTGCATTGCAGCAGGTGGTCAGTGGTTTGCTTTTCTCCACACTCGCATGTCGTGGATTCCACTTTGTAGCCCCATTTCTTAAGATTGGCTCTGCATCTCGTGGTGCCAGAGTGCAGTCTGTTCAGCGCCTTCCAAGTCACCCAGTCTTCTGTGTGCCCAGGGGGGAGTCTCTCATCTGGTATCACCCACGGATTGAGGTGCTGGGTTTGAGCCTGCCACTTTTGGACTCTCGCTTGCTGAGGTGTTCCAGCGAGTGTCTCTGTAGATCTAAGAAAACTATTTCTTGATTTAAGTCGTTGACGTGCTGGCTGATGCCCAAACAAGGGATGAGCTGGAGATGTCTCTGCCTTGGTCCTTTCACTATTGGCTGCTACTTCCTGGCGGATGTCAGGTGGTGCAATACCGGCTAAATTGAGAATCTGGATTTCATCCATTAATGCAGACCAACAGAAAAGCAGACAAGCTCCAGATTCTAAATAAGAGGACCAATCTGTAGTAATGCCCCCTCACCCCGTAAGGCAGAGGAAACAGATTTACCTTGACATCCTGAACACTGAATGAAGAAATTTATGAGGTCCAGAAGTGCCACATCTCGATCTCTTTTGTAAGCTTCAACCCAATCATCTACCACCGACTAAATCATTGCAGAAAAACACAAAGATGAACAAGTAGTATTTTAAATAGCTTAAACTAGAAATCAAAGTCTACTCTGAACCATTAGTCTCAATTAGAGTCATTCCACTGAATTCACAAAAAACCTAATAACAGTTATGGAAGTTCCATCAACTCAATGGGTTTCCTCTAGTTAGAAGAACATTAAATTTATGCCTCATATTAGCAACCTACAAATTAAACTAAAAATATATATTTCATCTTCTCATGTTTTCACTAATACATTATAGTCAACTTATTTATGTTGCCTTAGAACTATAATCAAATATATATTAAGTATAACATATCAGATAACACATCCTAAGATATAATGCAAGCATAAACATCCAAAGTTAATGTTCTTGGGGTTGATGTGGTGTATGTGCCTTCATGTCACCTGTTGACTTATGCCAACCCCATATATATCGTAGGGGTTTTATTATGCTGTAACCTGCCACGAGGAGAGGCAAGTAGAAAATAAAATTATTATTATTAAAGATGTAATAAAACATTTCCTGATAATTGTCATCACAAAGGCATAATCTTTCTTTCAATGAGATTCAGTAGTCCATCTATGAAGTCTGCTGACAAGGAATTCTAATGAACTGATTTTATATGTAAATCACTCTAACAAGGAAAAATACCTGCATAGCTCTTTTGCCCATGATGACCACCTCAAACAAAGTAACTGCTTCAACCACTTCTCCATTCTGCAGCTGGTTTGACCGTCTACTACTAGAAGAATTTCTCCTTCTGTTTTCGCATTGTTCTCGGTTTTTTCTTTTCCCTTTCTAAAAGAATAAAAACAAAATGCAAATTATAACATTGCAATAGTAAGAGAGGAACCTCCGGTGGTGGTTCGAATCCAGGGAGCGGGTGAGCTTCTGGTGTTAGCCTCAGCTTCTGCCAACCTAGCACTTCGAAAACATGCAAATGTGAGATCAATAGGTACCACTCTGGCAGGAAAGTAACAACACTCCATGCAGTCATGCCATCCACATGACCTTGGAGGCATCTATAGACAACACCGGCTCTTCAGCTTAGAAATGGAGATGAGCACAACTCCCCAGAGTCGGATATGACTGGACTTAATATCAGGGAAAACCTTTACCTTAATAGTAACAGAAATGTACACTTTCCCTGAAATAGTATATACGTTCCATGAAAGGTACTGTAATAAAAGAAAGATGGAGGTAGCTACTGCATGTCCTCAATGAACCATCTACCCAATCCTTTACCCCATGATAGGATATTGCTATATCAGACAAATGAAAAGTTCACTGGTGAATATGGACTGTTAATAATGTTCGCCAGTAAGATCTGAATGCCTAGAAAGAATAAATATATGGGAATTGTGGGAGTTAACCTACACTGATTCTGCAGTTGTAAACATTTGCGCCTATTGTTACAGTTTATGCAGAGTCTAGTCCAAGAAAGACACAGTAGCTTCACAAAATTCAAGCAGAAAACATAAATTTACTCTTTTTCATCAGAGTCAAAAAACATAAACTTGCAGAGTAACAAACTTACATAATCCTTGTATGCATCACAAAACACAGAGAGCATAGCTTCTCCAACTCCCAAAGCAGAGAGCCAGCATGTATCCTACAACACACCCAGTTATACACCAGCAGTGTGGTCCTAACTTACTGACCTGAATTAACACCTGCATATAATGATCACCAGCATAAGGTTTTTTTCTTTAGCACATATATCAACTCCAACCTTGGTGTTGATGCTTGCAAAACTCACCCCGTTTTCAGTATACCTTAACAGATATTGGCACATACTGATTCCAGTCGCTGTGAACTGACACTTTCCCAGATGTATTTCATCCAGCACAATAGTGAGATCTTATTTCCATTTTTGCTTCACTGATTAGAAAACACAACAGAAACTTACCAGAGGCCTAGCATTGCCATTTCTCAAGCAGCCACCATTTTGTGCAGTGGATTCAGGAACAATCTCATCGTGAATCCCATTTTCTCTGAGCCAATCAAAAAGAAGTAGAAAAAGGTTAGTATTAAAAAAGGGGTGTGTATCTTCAACTGTGAACAAATACTGCACGACGATGAATTCGCTAGGAAAAAGGTCTGAAACCCCTGAAAGAAGATACTGAATATAATTGTAATTCTTTAAAGTGCTGCTCTCAAATGAATAAGGAAGCAATATAAGTTGCTGTCTCTAGAGCAAAGCTACCAACATTTGACCAAACCAGATGTCCCACCCTCATTGTATCAACAGATGACCAGTTTTTAAAGAGAGAAAGCAACTGTAAGTAACAAGCAAGTTAGTATTGGTTCACTTAAATAATCTCACTGGCTACTTTTCTCCCTATTATGGAAAACATATATCCCCTCGGGGTGAGGAGACCTGCTTGAACAGATGAGTTTTTAGCAAAAGTTAAGCAAATGTTCCCCCAATTTTCATTAAAAAAATAAAGCACACATAAAGCGTGAAATGGTTCACATATTCCCTGTGTAACTTTCAATCCGGCCAATATTCTGTCATTTCAATGAAGTTACTGTGAGATTTACAATACACTTACCTGCTTGTTGTAAAGTTTTTGCTTTGTAATTATCTCAGTTACAGAAACCAGCTGGCCCACAACAGAAAGCACAGGGTTTTTTGTTGTTTTTTTTAATATGGCAAGGATTGGCAGACCAGCTATCTTGCTAGTTCAGGCTTGTGCTTTTTAATTAGGAGGAATAACAAATCCAAACACTGTCTGTCTCACTGAACTACTCATAAATGTTCACTGATGAGGCAAGTAATTTCTACTCTATGAAGAAACTACGTTTTTAAAAGTGTGAATTTCATACGAGTAAAGTTTTGAGAATGGGTTGAAGAGAGGGGAGGAGGGAGTGAAAAGAGTAAAGAAAGTGGAAAAGTTGGTGTTGCCTGGCACAGAGGAAAGGCATGTGGAAAGGTGAAGGAAGATCAGAATGACCTGGAAGAGATGGGATAAGCGTGGAAGAATGTTTTTTGGAATACAGAGGAATGGAGAAGCATCCAGTAAAGGAGGGAATCTGAGAGAAGTGCAAAGAAGAAAAAGGGGTAGAGGTTTGATTGCATGAATGTGAATGTTTTCTTTATTCTGGTCAACTATAATACCCATGGCACTCTTTCTATTGCCCCCCCCCCCCCCAGTGCTATTCTGCAGATTAAACTATTAACACTATTGCATTTTAAAATCTCTTCGTCTCTAGTTTCTGATTGGAAAATAGATACTAAAAATTTTGGGGGCCTCAACACCTATACTGTCCCACTTCTGCTTAGTACTTTACATGTCTCAAAATAGCTTAACATACGCTTCAACGGTACCCATTAAGTCAAAGGGAACTATGAAAGGATACTTGCGTCACTTATAGAAAATCTCAGATACTATTCCTAGGAATATGAATTGAAGGAGGGCAAGTAGCAAGCTAAGGAAGAACCTCTTTCTAAGGCAGTGGTTCTCAACCTGTGGGTCACCAGTTGTTTTGGCCTTCAACTCCCAGAAATTCTAACAGCTGGTAAACAGGCCAAAACACCTGGGGACCAACAGGTTAAGAACCACTGTTCTTAGGCAACAAAAAGCTGGTGTCAAGCAGAAAAAACTGTACTCAGAGGTTATAGTATATGGCATTATCATATCTTTACTTTCACTATTACCATGTCACATGTTTTGATGTTACTCAACATATTGCTTGCTGTGAAGATCCCTTACCTTGCCAGCCAGGGTGGCAGGGCCCAGGAAGAGACAGGCTAGGTAGTTTCAGCTTAGAAGGCCTGGCAGAGAGCTGCTGGAGCCATCTTAGTTTAGGGAAGCTCCAGTTCAGAGAGGGAGGAGTGGCCTAGGCCTGAGCCAGCCCAGCAACAGCCAGGATTGGTTTGGAAAAGGGGGGCGGAGTTAGCCAGTTGGAGGGAAAGAGAACAGATAATTTTGACAGTTCAGTGGAGTTCTGTTCAGTTCAGGAGAGAGCAGTTCAGTTCTGAGTGAGGTTAGAGTAGGATTGAAAGTTTTAGGAGTCTCTGTTAAGAATAGGCAGCTTGCCTGTAGTTTGCACAGCAAAGTAGGCTGTGGCAGACTGTTACAGCTATTTTTAGAAAAGAAAATAGCTGGGTTTTGTGTTTAAGAAATTGTAACAAAGGAAAGAACCATTCTCTCAAGTAACCATTACGCTTCTAAGAACCAGGAACATTTTTATTGTAACAGCCAAGCCTCTGAACCTGCATTCACTTTTAATTCTGTAACTTGTAATCAATAAACTCTTTCTTGTTATTTTTAAAATTGAAGCCTGAGTCAAGTGCCATTTTTGGTTGGAGTCATTTTCCTTGTTGAATCAACCTCTCCTGTTTTCCCCTCAAAGAAAGCCCTTGATAATACACAGCATTTGGTGGAGTAAAAAGCCTTTTATTAATTTAAACAGCATTTTAACATTTTAAATAGCTAGAGGGTTCGTGTTTCTTTAGTTTATGGTGGCAGCGAAGGTTTTACATAACGAGACATCCCCTCAAACACTATAAGAGCCAAAGTGGTGTGAATTCCTTATTGAAGGAGGGACAGTGGTGGGATTCTTTGACCCCCCTGCCCAGACGGCCAATTGAGGTGTTGTTATAATTGGTGTGGCAGTGGTGGGATTGGTTTGTCCACTCTGCCTTGAGAAGCCTCTAAGTCCTTATAATTGGTGGCAGCGGTGGGATTGATTGTTCCACCCTGCCCAGATAGCCTCTAAGTTATTATAATTGGTTTGCAGCGGTGTGGATTCATGTAACATCTCAATCCAGGGCATTTTTGTGTGAATCCTGAGGTAAAATCTTGTCAAAACGTGACCCCAAGGATTACCTCAGAGAGAGAACACCTCTAGCGCCATTTTACAACATATTAGGCACCATGGCACCACCAAAGACAAAGAAGGGCACTCCTGAAGACCCAGAAGCAGTAGTTTCTGTAGTTGAGGAGACTGAGACCCAAGTACCAGAGGGTAGACAAGAACAGATAGCTACCTCTTTGACCATTGAAAAGCTTAGGCTGGAAATGAGGTTGAGAGAACTTGAGTTTCAAGAAAGGGAGAGGGAAAGAATGATTGAATTGGAAAGGGAAAAGTTTCAGGCTGAAAGAGAAAGAGAAAAGATTCAGGCTGAAAGAGAAAGAGAAAAAAGACAAGCTGAAGAAAGAGAGAAGGAAAGAATGATTGAAATTGAAAGAGAAAGAATGCAAGCTGAGGAGAGGCAGAGAGAAAGAATGGCTGAGATAGAAATAGAACGTTTAAAACATGAGGAGAGAATGGCAGAACTACAATTAAGAGAACATGAGAGAACTCCTAACTTAAGCCAACAGCAAGACTCTAACATGCAAAGGGTGTTAAAGAACTTTCCCCGTTATGTAAAAGGGGACTGCGTAGAGTCATTTCTGGCTGCCTTTGAACGGGCTGCTCATGATTTTGAGGTACCTGAAGATAAAATGATGGTGTACCTGAGACCCCTGCTTTGTGGGGAACTTAATGAGGTTTATGCTGATCTGCGAGAGACAGAGAGCGGGAATTACCTCATATTTAAAGAAAGGGTGAAGCTGAGGTTTGGCTTGACTCCTGAACAAAGTAGAAAGATGTTCAGGGAGATCAAAAGGAAGCCAGGAGAAACCTTTTCACAATTGGGAAGCCGAATGGAAAAAGCCTTAGAGAGATGGCTGGAAGGGAGTAAAACGACCACTTTTGAGGAGTTAAAACATTTAGTTTGTATGGAGCAGTTTTATCGACTGATTCCCATACAAATGAGGTGGTTCGTTAAGGACAAGAAGATTAAACAAGTGTCAGATCTCGTGGCTTGGTTGGATGAGATGGAGCATGACTGGAATGTGAGTCATGGCTCAGGAGCCACCAAGAGACCGAGGGAATGGGTTCCAAAAGAGAAAACTGACGTAGGAAACCAAAATCCTGTCAGGAGGGACCGCATTCCAGAGATTGCCACAGGAAAACTTGTCTGCTACTTCTGCCATCAAGAGGGTCATAAGAAAACGGCTTGTCCCAAGTTAAACACCCAGAAAAGGCCAGTTACACCACCAAAGCCAGTTAAGGTGGTTAGGCAAATATCTCCACATGAAGAAAGTCAGTCTCCACATGCACAGGAAGAGCCTGTGAAGATAATGCGTGTATGGAGTACTGAGAAAGAGTCTAATGGAGATTATTTGAGGGTGATCAAAGTAAAGGGTCAGGAACTAATGGGATTCAGAGACACTGGGTCTGAAGTATCGCTCATTAGGCCAGAGTTTGTCAAGGCAGACCAGATACTTCAAGGCCAAAAATACAAGCTGAGAGGAATTTA